CTTCGGAAATCGCTAACCAGCCTCGCTGGGTGCCAACCACGGTGCACCATGTCTGGAGCGCTTCCAAAATCGTGAAGCAGCCTCTCGGCGCCGAGCCAGGATTTCCTTCAAATACCACAGCCCTTTGGATAGCTGCGTGCTTTCCGGCTTTGCTGGTCTATCGATGGTGAAATAATGTCCGAGGCAAGACAGAATCCTGAGATTGGGCGCCCGCTGAACTGATGACCGGGTCCACTGGAGAGAGGACAAAAAAAGCCCGGGCCCTTTGTCAAGTACGCTGAGATCGCAGTATGACCTTCTCTTTTAGTGTAGACTGTCAAGTCTCCTTGCGACATCGCGATCGGTATATCAGGTATCGATTCAACAGGTGCGACGAATTACAATCATGTTGTTTTGCTGCCGGTCGAAACTCTGTTCCACCCACATGGGATAATCCGCACCTACCTAAATACGGAATGTTCAGCTGGGGATTGCATTTCCGCCGCGGCTGGTCACAAATTTGAACCCACAAACGCGTCTTCTCTCCACCACGGAATAGGTCTCGGTGACATGCAGGTGGCAGGAGAAGCTTTGATTGACCACACAGAGCAACGGTTCAATGGTCCTACAACAAGGAACTCCGAGATTCTTACGGCTCAGCTTTCCGAGGTTTACGGGCAAGGAATCCAGTGCCAGAAACACATTCGATAGCAATGGAAACGCGCCTGGATATGTGTTCTTAAGAGTTCTTTGGCGAAAGCCAGCTTTGGAAGGTTATCAGCCTACAAAAAATGCTCTCCAACGGAACAGTGTCGGGCGAGACAGCTGATCTCGCTTCTGCATCATCTGAAGCCGACACTCAGCAATTTAAACCTACACAAGTACCTGACCTAGCTGCCCGAACAGGTACCCGTGGGGTCCGGGTGGCCGCCGTGGTCAATCTGCGCCACACGGCGTTCTTTTCAGTTAAACTGTTTGCGATTACAGATCCACAGCAGGAATTCCCATTACCTGCGTATTGCTTCAAAGCCAGCTTAACAGGCGGATTCCACGCAAAAACAGTGCGTAGATGTGGCGGAACGCCAACAAGTTCATCACGTAAAAAGCACTAGGGCGTTGATGGCATTAAAGGACGGCGTACCCTGTACTTTCGTGATGACGGCAACCTTTTGGAGGGCTTGGGAGGGCCACCGGCGCAAGTCCTAACGCACGCCAGAGGGAAAAAGCTTGGTAGGCATCGGTGATGCTTGCTGAGAGAAGACTTGCGATAGGGTCTGGCGCCCATCAAGTGGGGGCTTCGTTGCTTTTGTTCAAGATAGGCTGCGACCACCGCGTCCCTCCAAGTCGCAGGTGGCTTGCCCAAGCTTGAGCCACCAGACAGCAGCCATGTCGTCCCTACGTCAAAATGTTGAGCCATGCCATGTCATGCATTCTGAGGCTTGTTTGCGGGGAGCAAACCTGATGGCTTCAAGATTGGTCTCACCAGGTCTAGAACGTGAGACGCTGGTCAATCAAACATGCATGAAAAAGGGCGTCAGGAGGGTAAGTCTTTACATGTCCACTACTGACCCTGCAATTATTCGCTCAGGAAGAAGCCGAGAAGGTGGCTGCCTTTCCCGAGATGATGTCGAGATATAGTGCCTAACAAGCAGCTCAAAGGCTCCATTGCAATCCGCCGAATAAGCCCTGAACCTGTGGACACTCATCATGGTTGTGCGCCGCTCTTAGACAGCAACCGATATGACATGAAATCATGAAATTCAGGACCGTCGCCACTGTGGACTATGTAAGCGGATAGACATCTCAAAGAACGAACGATCGAATCGTCTGGTCCGCTCTGGTAAGATGAGTCCAGAAATGGGCTGCTGTGGCCAACAACCCCATCTGCGGCGTTACCATTGTTATTACTCCAATCGAGAGGTTGACGGCCGCCTCCTTCCGAGGTCTTTTCTTTCGGTGACGGATCAAGGGTCCGATAGGACTGCTGAGCTCCAATAGCGAGAATGCTCTGTCCACTCATCACTGGCACCACAATCGGGGGCGCTGCCGGATGGAGGGTTGGGAGAAGTGCTCCTAAGCACGCAAATTGGAATACCGGGTATGCTATCTTTATGGTTGAACACGAAAAAGTGACACAGAGACGGCTCTCGAGGAAAGGCGAATCAGAAGAGTTCGCTCTCACAGTCAGCCTTCTGGATGGAGGACCGTCGCTAGAGAAAGGCAGGTTCTATTATTAATGCAGCCCTGAAGCTGTGTTTGCAATTCGTGCCACTGCAATGGGGTATGTAAACATATACTCGGTGACCTGGCCTGAGACTAACCCAAGATCAATCCTGCGGCCCCGATGACAACGGAGCCGGAGGATATTTCTGTCATGGGCATCGTGAACAAGGCTGAGCAAACTACCTATACGGAGTATTGGCGTTTGCTACAATCATAATGGTTTGAAGGACGTCGTGAAGAATTGCCTTTCATCCAGTTCAACCAGGGGGGTGGATAGGCTCTGCATGCCTGCCAGTAACGACCAGGGTGGGCGGTAGAAGCAGAGACGGAACAACCAGGACTGCAGGAGGAAGACGCGTACCAAGCAAGCACCCTCGTCAGCCAGAAATGGCTATTCGCCACCCCATCGTCGTTGGGGTCTGCCCAAGGTTGATTATTGCCAACTCGGCCGACATTATTGGCCTTGTGGTCGTGGCCCTTTTCGCTGCACTTGGACATGCTGATTTGCCCCAGTCTTTTCTACAAAGGGAAGCTAAGATGGTAGGTTCCAGCTGCTATTCTGAGTCGGTGTAGCTCTGAAGAAAGCGCTATTCATGCGCAGGCCGACAGAGCCAATGATGGTGCCCAACAACATGAGCAGACATGCCTCCCTTGCGTAAGCGACGCATCACGAAAATTCCACTTGTTCAATCGATATTTTAAAGTGCCTTGTTCGGGCAATTCAGTGATGGGAGTGGGCGGGAGTGGTGGTAAATGGGACGGCGTCCTTTTTGACCCCGAGATCGACGCTGTGAATAACCAGAACCAGGATCAACGCCGGGCCACACATGGCAGTTCGTGCTCACGGGTCGTATTGTAGGGAGGGACTAAGGCTGCTTCCGGTGTAGCGTCAAGAATGTGCAGAGGGCGGCGGGCAGCTCTCGCCACCAAGCGGAGACATTGGAGACGTTGGGGTGAAAGGTGAGCTCCTGAGGGAGGGAAGGAGAGAGGAGAGCGAGAGAGAAGAAGCGTCCAAGAGCAGAAAGATTCCAGGGATCCAGGATTGGGAAACGAACTGCGGGTTGGCTGTCACAACAACGCGCTCAGGCTAAGGTCAAGACATGCAGGAAGGACTCTCTCTCTCCCTCTCTCTCTCTCTTTTTGTCTCGCCCTTTTTCTTTTGGGTACTATTTTGCGTACGAAATGATAGACGCGTTCGAGGGCAGACCATGTGGATCTGGTGTTTATCCTTTAACCGCACGGAGATCGATTCGGCGATGGGCTCGGTGGCTCGGCAGTTCGGTGGCTTGATGACGAGGAAGTCAGAAGGTTCGATCTCTGTAATTTCGCGGCAGGATATGATTCGAGAGGGAAGACAGGAGGGCCTTTTGGAGGCTTTGGAGGCGTTGGAAGGTCTGTTGCAGATGTCGATTGAGGGGGGAGGAGCATGAACTGTGTGACCGGGGTAGGCCGCTGGTACAGATGCAAAGCTGTGTGTGTATTCGGTAAGTAGGTATGTATTGCGTGTTGCATACTCCGTATAACTTGTTGAGGTTGTGGCCAAAAGTCAAGGTTGCCTGCTGGGCTGCAGTCAGAACGACTAGCCGACTAGTGTGATGATCGCCGGAGCGCCGTTGATGACCTCTAACTTGTACTTAGGCGTTTCGAGTTCAAACTCTGTTGCGCTGTTCACTATTTGGGCCCGCAGGACCCTGGTCAGACTTAACAGCAGGCCCCAGCAGGGCCCCAGCAAGGGGCCAGGAGGGGCACTGTTGGAAATTACAGGGATTCCCACGAGACGCGAGAGGCCAGTGCGCCGCCTATTTCCCCCCCCCCCCCAAAGAACATCCGCCCTCCCCCAACTTTATTCGGGGAGCAGAAAAGACAGTACTGGGTAGTACTTGGTAGGCAGGGTTAATTGAATTACCCGCATCGTATCCAACCGCCGTTAGGTAGATCCAAATACTCGCTACTGACAAACAGGTAACTACAAGTGTGTGAACATAGGTAATATGGAGAGGCGTGCACTCGTATCTCTTGTCTTCTATATGGCAAGCGCTCTCTGTAAATGCCTTCAGCTGGAGGGGATCCTGTCAGACCGTACAGAGTAGTCTATGATCTGTCGTCTGTTTGGTCCATGTTGTCTATTTTTTTTTCCCCCGTGTTCCGTCCCCCATTACTTGGTTGTTATTAATACTCACTAAATCATGCCAGATTGAAATGCTTTTTCTTGGTGGTGGTGAGCATCTCCTCCTTCCCGGACACGAGTAATCATTCGCTTCCAGCCAGTCCACCTTCTCGAAGAACCTGAACTGCACACCTTGACCTTGGCCATCCGCCATCTCACCATTGTAATCCCGACGGTGCTTGTGTGTTTGCATGTTCCCCTGGACTGACTGGTCTTTTGGTGGTATTCCTTGCTCTATCTTCCTACCTGGGACCCTGGCCCAGCCCTGTACTAGTATTGCCGCTTCATCATCCCTACCTACAACTTCTTTCGACCCCCTCCTCGTCCTCGTCCTCTTTCCCTTCTCTCTCACCCCACCTAGCGACCCATCTCTTGCGGCCCTTGATGCGACAAGCGCTCGCCTCTCGAAGCCTCATTCCTCGAACAGCCCCTCCAGCTCCAAACTCCTGCTTCCCCCTCTCCTTCCTTCTCTTAGCAGCGCCCTACGGAGTACTTCCGATCTCCCTCAATCGAACACCCGAGACGAACTCCAAACCCTGACGTCGGCCAGCCGGTCAATCTTGAACTCGTCACCCCCCTTCTCACTTTCCCTCGCTACTTGCTACAAACAACCTGGGCTCCCCGCCGCGCCATGGCGCCCGCCCAGAGCAAAAAACACGCCGTCGCTTCGGAGAAATCAACTGGGCCTGGCCCTGCCAATTTGAACCTCAATGCTGCCAATCTGGGTAATACGCAACTGCATCAATCCCCAGCGCACGTACACTACCCTCACCATCAGCAAGCGCACCAGTTAGCGACTACGCGCAACGCCTACAAGAATAGCTCTCGTCATTCTCACGCTCAGCAACAGCAACAGCAACAACAACAACAACAACAACAACAACAACCACCTCACCATCCCCTCTCACAGGCTGTCACACCAGCAAAAGCCCCCGATCCAGCAGCGCCTGGTCCAGGCCCAGTCTCTGGCTCTGGCGTCGCATTTGCTCACATTCATGGCCCTGGAGAAGCTAAACCACATGTAAGTTACCTCTCTTATTCATTGTCAATCTTTTGAGGTCATTTTAGCGCTTCTCCATCGCCTTTCTGTCTGTCCTCTTGTCCAGCGCAGTCCCGCGTTTTTGGCTTGCTCCATGTCAATCACCTGTCATGAGAAGGCACATCCTGGTCTGACCGTTGAAGCCTCTTTTGGCCCGAAGCCGGTCCTCCAATGTGCGGTTAACGACCTACAATCTCTGCTTCCTTGGCTGCGACCCTGGCCCCTGGTCGTCTGGCACATCCCAACCCCGGTCATCCTTTCCTCCTGTCTCTACCTAGGCCGGTAGGTAGGTATTTTGCAGCCCTGGCTTGCATCTGCCCAGCCAGGATCCTACCCCGACTGGCTTGATCTCAGTCGGGTCCTGTCTGGCCCTCGGGCAGCTATGATTAGCCCGCTTGTGGCCCCGCCTCCCTCTGTGACCGGCTCTTCAAGCACCAAAAGTGCCAGAAGCCACTCCAGGCTCAGCCAGTCGACGCTTGGACCCGGGCTCTCCAATCCACCTGTCCAATGCTCCTCCCGGATCCTCCAGTGACCGCTCCAGACTCCACTCTTAGCAGAACTCAAGGACCCAAGGACCAAGCTCTCCCGGTTCCAACCCTGGCTGGTTCCCAAGTCGCCTGCGCAGTGCCTTTACTTACTCTAAGCTCCCGCGCCATCGATCCACTTGATTTGCACGCTACAAGTTTCGAAAGCACAAATCCACACCATCCAGTCCGCTCTCCCATCCGCCTTTTACAACCGCCCTTGCCCCTCGGCTTCTTTTGCATCATTCCATCTTTTTTACTCTCGCCAAAACTTGTTCTTTATCAATTCCCCCTTGGACCTTGCACCGCCACGTCTGACCTTCAGACTTCTACGTTTGCCGTTTCCGACTGTCAAAACAACACCCACTCCATACATGTCCTGGTTGCTCTATTACATAGCAACAACCTATTCCCTCCACCCCAGTCCTTCCACCATCCAATATCCAGCCATCTAAGCTTCGACTACCTGGGCTCCTTCAACGGTGACAATCTCAGTACATGGTATGCTGGTTTCCGAGGAGCCCCCCCTGCCCTTCCTGTCCACAACCCCTGGTCATTGCCCTATCCGTTATCACATGCGCGCCTTAACCCCTCCCACACTATCCATTCATCGTTTCGAATCTCCATTACATCCACACCCTGGACATACCTCGACAGCTTCTATCCAGTCTTAAAGCTTTGCCTGTTCGCCGCATGCTATCCTGGTTCTATCTCGTTGCGTGACGGACCCCTCTGTCCTCTCGCTCAATATTCCCCTGGCACCTTGGCCCTTGCCCCTGCCCTACCTTGCTACTTCTACAGGTACGAACAAGTGTATCAAATTGCCAGTGATTCCGTGTGCTCGGTGGCGCGTGTCTCTATTTTTTTCAAACTCTCTTTGTTCGCAAACTCAGGATCCTCGCTTCCTTACCGAAGAGATATTCAGGATCTATTGAGGTCCCCTGGCTCTCCACCATGAGCCGGGGGGTTGAGGGTCATCCCAATCACGAACCCTCCCCCCTGGTCTTGATCAAGCCAAAATTCGTTGCTTTGGACCGGGCTCTGACTGTTGTCCGAACATCTTTGTTCTGGCCTCTGTCCGAAGGGCCCTTTTGTTTCCTACTCAACGATTGACGCGAGTCTGTTCTGTTGTGCTTTATTCTTATTCTCACGACCTCGCGCTGACATATGGATCCTCCATGCAGCATCGCACAACACAGCCCTACCCAACCGTTGCACCGTTGCATCACATCCCGCAACAATCGCAAACGAGAACGTTGAGCGGTAGTCAAAGCGCCCAGCAACCCTATCCGTCGCCGAACGTATACACTCCTCAACCCAGTCTCCAGTCGCCTTTTCTCAACAGCCAGGCGCAATTCCAGGCGCAACCCGCCGCTACTGACCCACCAAACTTTTATCCTCCTACTCAAAGCCCGCGAAGCCAGCATAGCGCTGCTGGAGCCTATTATCCTTCAGGTGAGTCAGGAGCGGGGGCGGCATCGCTGTAGCCTTCTTCGGTGAGCTGATCCAAGTTCAGAGAAATCCGATTCTATGGCAGCAACCGCGACCATGCAGAGGCCTTACCCTCCGATATATCACACTCCGCAGTCGAACTCACCGGCTTCCGTAACCTCGCCTCAAACTCACGATCCGGCGCGGCCCATGTATGCTCAACCAGGCTCTCAATTGAGCCAGCCGCTCTATGGCTATCAGTATGGAATGAATTCGGTACATCAGCCTACCTACGGACAACATCATGCCGCTTCTCAGCAACACCAGATCAACTCTCAGTCGATGCTACCATATCAATCTACAAATCCGCAAATCGCTCAACCCCAGGTTGCATCACACCATCCAGCCATTTCCAGCAGCCCAAGATTGAAGTCAGAGCCGAGTCAACATTATCAACAAACGCCACAGGCGCGACCGGGAATGCTTCAGCAACAGCAACAACATCCGACCCCAGGTCCTCAGCCCTCACCTCTGCCACAGCAACAACAGCAGCAGCCCGCTCTCCCGCAACAGCAACAACAGCAACCCACACTCCACCACCACCAGCAACAGCAACAAGCACAACAGCAGCAACAACAACAACAACCACCGCCATCACAACAAATGCCGCCAAATTTGCAGCCAAACTCCAACGCCGCCCCCGGACCTATCCCTGCCACGACACCTTTGAAGATACGGCAAGATGGGAACGGGGTGCAGTGGATAGCTTTCGAATACTCTAGAGACCGGGTCAAAATGGAGTATACTATCAGGTGTGACGTCGAATCGGTGGACCCGGCTACTTTGCCGCAAGAATTCAAATCGGAAAATTGTGTCTACCCGCGAGCCTGCGTGCCAAAAGAACAGTACAAAGGAAACCGCTTGAACTATGAGACAGACTGCAACAACGTGGGTTGGGCATTGGCAGAGCTGAATCCGTGCCTTCGAGGTAAGCGGGGATTGATTCAGAGGGCAGTAGACAGCTGGAGAAACAGCAACCAAGATCCACGATTGCGAAGTCGTCGCGTCAGGCGACAAGCCAAGATGAACAGGTCGAAATTGACACCTTCGACCATGGGCAAGGCGCCCGGATCGGGTGGTCCCGTGTCGACAGGGCTTCCCGGTCCAAACTCAATGGCGGCCCCCCCCACTAGGCCACCCGGTACTCTATCCAGCACACAGGCTCAGCTCCTTCATCATGCCCAGGATGTGTCTCCTACGGGGCATGAGAATGTCGGAGGTATGCAAACCTTTTCACCATGGCTCTGGCACCACTCCAGACTTGACGCCAATTACAGCCTTCAGCTAACGTTCTAACAGCCCCTACTTATAATCCCGCCCAACAAGCTTACCGACAAAATTCCGTAACTCCGCAGATGACGAGTCCGAATGACTTGCGCCAAAGTCATGTTTTTACGGGCTATCCAAGCTACCCGGCGTCGTTAGCTCCTTCTATGGGACCATCCATGGCTCCATCAATGCAGGCAGGTCTACACCATCTTGGACGGCCTGGAGGAACAGCTGCCATGACTTCGAAAGAACAAGAGGAGAGGAATGAGGAAGACAATGCCTTGTTCGGAGAGCTGCCTGAAGGCAAGCGGCGAAAGTTCATCCTGGTCGAGGATACGCAGAAGAATGCCCGCGTACGAGTCAAAGTGACTCTGGATCAAATTGAGATGAGTGAGATCCCGGACTCTTACCGCAAGCAGAACTCCGTCTTTCCCCGAGCATACTTCCCGGTCCAGATGCAAACTGGTCCCGAGACGACTCCAGGTGCCCGTTTCGTTGAAGAAGGGGATGAGGTTGATAGTGGGGTGCCGACAATTGGGAAAACATCTGTCTCTATTCTGGCCACGGATGGAGAAGCTGAGGTGTCTGTGCCCCTAATTTCTAGAAGCAAACGAGGTCGAGAGCAGAAGATCAATGAACTGGGGTATCGCATGGCTTGGGGACAGGGCCGAGTGTTTTCGGGCAGGCCAATCTTCCTCGCTCGAGCGCGTGAGTGTTTCGCAGGCTGATATGTCTCTGGAATATTGACATTTGCACAGTCGACGCTTATCGCAGCAAGCAACGAAGTGCACTCATCAACGCTGGTTCCGACCCATCAAATATCCCCGCTCACCTCGAAACTCGACCGGGCAAGAGAAAGTGGCTCGAAAGAACAAGAACTGCCGCGGCGCAAGCACCAACACCGCCAGGCGCAGCTTCGGACTGAATGATTGGCTGACTCGGCGAAGCAATCCCGCACATTATTGTTTTGCGCCATCCATCGACACCTCCGAGTACAGTTTCGAACTTGTACATTATTCCGACTTCCCCGAGCGATGCGCTGTATGATCACGCTGCCGCACGAGACAGAAAAGTCAGATCCATGAGTTTTATACCCAATCCGTTCAAAATCTATATGAAATAGTCGTCTTTTCTTCTATTTGGTGGGCTATGCGTCGCCATTCGACTTACGATCTTTTTTGTTTGGAGAAGAGTACAGCACGATTTAGGTCTTTTGCACATTACTGTGAAGATCCGTACCAGGGGAGGAAGAGTGGGATATTTCTCATTTTCCGTGCCTATTGGGTCCTAGGACCCCAGCGTACGAGAACCCGTGGTTTGGGAAGGGAAAAGGAGCATGTTGTGGATACCCTTGTTGCGATTTTCTATATCCTTGCGAGTCTGTTATGGGTCACCAGTGGAGGTTGAATTCCGTGTTTCTTTCATTGCAAAGGTTCCTTTCGATCAGGCGAGGGCTTCGACACCAAGTGTACAGTCTGTCGCTACGCCCCTTCTAGTTTCATCATTTTCCGCTGCATTTCGGGAGGGATTCGCGACATGACAGCTTGAGATGGGGCTGGGACTGGAACTGAAAAACGGAAGGGGGAAGAGATTCTCAGAGACGGCCTTTTCACAGTTTTTCCGCCATCCTATTGGCCGCGCAGCGACAGGCGGACGAAGATGCGGACGACGACTGGCCATCAAACAGAAGGACCCTTTTTTTCTTCCAATTCACACACAGCCAGCAGAAGTTGGCAATGGAATTTGGGAGGTGAGAGCAGCCTTTGTTGCTTGGATGCATTCATGATGCTTTTTTTTCTTCCCTGTTGTTTTGAATAGTTTATATTCATCTGGGCGGATTTTTTGATTTTTGAGCATCTTCCCCCGGCATGGCCGCGATGGAGGGAAACTTGGGGATAAGAATGGCAACAGGGATTGGGATGGGAATGGGAATCGGGAATCAGGAACCGGGAGGGTGAACAGCGAAGGGGATGTACTGGGGGCTCATCAAACTGGATGGGATGGAACGGGCAAAGCGATGCAATGCAACGGCAAGGGAAGGGAAAGGGAAAGGAATAGGACCCGAGTAGTCCAAACAAACAGGAGGAGGAAATTCCGTTAATCACGGATCTTTTTTTGGTGGGAAAACTTGAATAGTACAGTATGTTGGGAAGGGGGGGGGGGGGGGATCAGGATCAGAATCCGCGAGACAATGAAATTATTACTTTTTGTGTTCCGGATCGAGCTCGTTTTGGAAGTTGTTTCATTTTGACTTTTTGCCTTTCTCCGACTCATAGCCCACAAGCTGGATTATCCTTATGTACCCCCGTACGGAGTATCATCAACCCTTTTCCTCTTCCTTTCCGTTTTCCTTTTCCCCCTTAGCATCCATTTGCATTCGCATTTGCGATCATAGTCTCAAGGGATGTATCGCTTCGTGATGTCGCAACCGATCCGGTCTGAACACACCTCTTGCGCCGGACTGGCACAACGCGACGTGGAATCACATCTACCATTGACGTGTAGAATATTCTACACCACCATCCTTGAGCGGCCCCCCTGATGTTTATATACAGTACTATGTCACTATTCCGGTACTTTCCATAACGACACCCTATATGTTCATATACAGCACTATCCCACTGTTCCTGAACTTTCCATGAACCCTGCCAGTGATGTACATACCATCTTTTGCCCAGGACTTTTCCTTGGATCCAAAGTCATGACTTTCTTCAACCTCGTATACTGTCCGCATATTCAAATATTGTCCTTAAACCTTGTCCTTGCCAGGGAGTACCCCAATACCAGCGTGTTTTCCCAGCACGATTGTGCGTAACAATGCCGCTTCAGACCACAGACAGGGAGACATCCTCTCCATGCAATGCCAAAATCGCTGCAAGGTGGACATCATGTAATAAACTTTGTCCAACTCAGGTCAGGAAACAAGCCAACTTGCAGATCGAGTTAGCCAATCTCGATTCCCAAAATCCATACACGTGCCCAGTCCCTATTCGATTCATGATCCAACAGTCTTCCCGTCACAATCAGGGATCTTCAGGCCAGGCTTCAAATTCCTGCCTGGGTCCATGAGACCCCATTTATCTTCCCACTGTTGGGTGGCGGTATTATAAATGACTTTCCAGGGTTCGTCGAATGCCTCAAACCTATCGTTCCAATGTCAGTATGCTCCAAGCACCAACACTTCAAAGGATGAGACTTACCAAAAATACTCTGTACCATTTGTCAATGCTTGACATACCCAATTGTCCATAAAGGTGTTCATGCCATCAACACCGGCAACGGATCCACTCTGCCCGGCGGCGCAAGACCCGTCAGTGCCGCCACAGTCCTCTCCACCTCCGCTGGGCCAACCGGTCTCACTGATCAATTGCATGACGTTTGACATTCCTTCAGTCAAGGCCACGTCGTGGGTTTGCCAAAAGGTCCACGTCCAACTAGCGGCGACCTCTGCCGTAACACCGGCGAAAAAGGGGTGGATATTTGACATCACGTAATCCACGGCTTGGACAAGTTGGGCATTCCAGTTGTCCCCGAGATCGGACGTTGCGATGGGGAGATCATAGCCGAGAGACTTGAACTTGGTCCTAACACCGTCCAGAATGGTGATCAGTTCCTGCTCTGACTGTGCTTTGTCCTCACCAGCACGGTAGAGGGCTTCATTGCCAACAATGACACCCTTGAATACTGAATGGTCCTTTGTTTCCGCCAGGATCTTGTACATCTGATCCAATTGACGATCCGTGGTTGTTTGGTTGGTGTCAATCCAGACGCCCATCCAGAGCTTCATGTCGGTGAGTTCAAGGCGGTCAATGGCGTGGAGCACCATCTCGGTCTGATTGCAGTCAGTGCCATAGAGTCGAACGACATTGGTGAGCTGTGACAAGACGGCCATGTCGCGCGTGACGTTGTTCTGCGACGGAGGGTAAGTGAAGCATAGCGGATATTGTGTACCCCAGGGAGTATAGTCCATGCCGGGGAAGACTTTGTGGAGGTCTGGGTTGTTCATGAGAGCCTTAATCTCTGCCGAATTCTTGTCAAGATCTCCGTTCGCCTCCGTGTCTGAGGCCGCATTGTTAGTGTCGCCGCTGGACGAGCCCGAGCCGGAATTGTCTGAGTTTTTTGAACTTAGGACACCACCGAGGATACCGGCAACAATGGCGACGACAATAACAAGGCCAATGCCGACGCCCACCCACAACTTCATTTTTCTTTTCCCTCTAGTCTGCTCTGCTAACCATTCACTCTTCTCTGGTTTTGGCGCTGTACTCACTGCATCGTATGTCCCGCTAGGAGTGTGGTTCTTTGATTTGCGGCCGAAGAGCCCTCCTAGGAAGCCAGCAGTACCTGCAGCTGCTGCAGTGGCAGCGGTAGTCTTTCCAATGCCTCTTTGCTGGCCAGCCGGTGGCACACCGTCGTCACCATCGTCAAGGATATTGTTGGGGTTGATACTGGCTTGATGCATGAAGCTGTCGGGATGACTTGACTGGTAGGGAAGATCGTGGTAGCTCGGGGAGGACAGTGGTTGGTTGGAGTTGGGATGATAGTCTTCCAAGGGGATATTTCTGCCGGAGTAGCTAGATGATCTGGGCCCCGGAGAGGGAGAAGGAGTAATGGTGCCAGGGGTGGCAGCGCCATGAGCAAGAGCGAACGTCGAGCCGTATGAGTTTCGCTCGGGCAGCCGGGAGGGCCGTGGTTGTTGGTATGGAGAATAGGATTGAGGAAACGAGTGAGCAGCCTCAATCCCACTTTCGTAAGGATGTCGATCGGCGACACCTGATGCGTCCGAGTTGAGTCCCCCTCCTGCTTCCCTACTGCCCAAATTGTCCATGCCTGCGGTCACGCCCAAGTTGGGCCAGTAGGGTTGGGGAGAATCGTCTCTAGAGAGTCGGTTTGGACTCGATCTGTGTGGTGGGGGAGGAGGAGGGCCTAGGTCGTCAAAGTCAGTTGGCGCTGGCCGTCTTGAAAGCGCCCTGGGAGGCGAGATGTCGCTGAGGAGATGGGTGTCGGGCGGGACGGGACGTCGTTGGGGGGATGTGGGAGGAGAGCGTTGTTGGTTACGGCCAGGAGAGGTAGAGGCGTATCTAGGAGGAGGAGAGACAAATTCTCTGGGTGGAGTCTCATGATATGGCTGTTGCTGGTAGGGTTGGTAAGACAGACGCGGCTGTTCCTGTGCCTGGGTCTGAGGGAGCCGTCCGTGCGGGTTCAGAGTGTTGTCATCTTGGGGCTCGAAGGAGAAGTTCCTTCCGCCGCTCGACATTCTCGATTATTGCAGCGGCTTCCCGAGACCCAAGAAAAAGAGGACCTCCGCGTATGGGTGAAAGGGGAAGCTGTAGTCCGTACTTCTGTATGGGAACCAATTCAGCGCCCAATTGACCGCCGAACATGAACGACGGAGGGGTATGTCTGGTGGAGAAGCGGTTCTGAATCGGACACAGATGGAATTTTGAAGCAGCGATGGAATGCACCGAGTTGTTGAAGTCAGACTGAGCCTTGAGGATGGGCGCAGCAGTCTCCCTTCGTTCGTGTTTCTCTGCAGTAGTGGTGGTATTTCTGGTAGCACCAGCAGGTAGAGGGGGGGCCAAGGGCGCAGCCAAACAGAATAGGCGAGCTGAGACAGACAGTAATAGCGTCAGCCGGAGTGCGAACAATTCGAAAGCAGTCAGGAGCCGGACTTCAATGCATCAAAAGGGTGAAGCCGATACCAGTGCAGAAGAGAGACATAGGAATGAAGACGGTGAAGCTGGCCATTGCAATCGAAACACATTTCCATTCGGCTACGAGGTACTTCGTCGTCACTTGGTTGAAGTGACTGCGGACTAATATTACCGTCTGTGGACACGGCGAGACGGCATGGCACCGGTTGCCTTGTCAACCTTGTGAACCGCCCGCCCTCAGCCTCACTAGCGACAAGCGCAGTTCCTGCTCCAATCAAGATAGCAGCCTTGTTTGACCCCAGACTCCGTACCGACTCTTTGTTCCCCAGGCCAGGTAACCCCCTAGTGGGTACAGACCAAGTCTTTGAACCTTCAATGGCCTTTTGAGGAAGTAATAGGCATGTTAACGATATCTTGTTGCCAACGAATGCCATCAGTCCAATATGCTCTCCGTTGAATGAATCCGCCTTAGTCCATATCGCCCGTTCCACGTCTCGTCCTCCGACGTCCTCCTCAATACCTGCTTTTACGAGTCGCAGCTGTCCATGGCCACCCTCTGCATCTGATCCTTCCTTCTTTGGCGTAGGGTCGGGTTGCAACCAGTCCGAGCCCTCGGCTTTACCTTTCAAACTTCCACGCTTCGCTGAGGCTGTGGGCTGTTGAATCGACAGTTGCCGGACCTTTTCGTCCAAGTCCCTTCTCTTCGCCCAATGTCATAGCCTGGCGTCTTCTGATTGCTCCACGACGCTTTAGCAGAGGCACGTCCGAGTCGGTCGTTGTGTTTGAAGCCGAGTTTTCTTCCTCACTTGACTGAGACTTGTCTAATTCAGACTCGCCGCTCTTGCCCTGCTCTGGCTCTAGATACCTCACACGCTTCAAAGGACTGAGCTGTGAATCAAGACTGCTGAACGGCATCGCCGAAGGACCGCCGTTACTTCCCCCTGGGCGATGCTCAATCGGTGTGCCATCTGTCGTGCATAATCCAAGGCTCACGAGTTTGGCAATGTCCATATATTGGAAGATGATTTTGCATAGAAATGCCTCGTCTCGACGATACCGGCGGTATTTGATGCCGATCATGCGGACATGTTCCTCTTTATCCCAGTCAAGCGTAACATCGTGCGTTTTATCGTCGTCACTTCTGGCACCCCCTTCTTCCTTTCGCTTCCAGTATGAATCCGGGCTCATCTGGGCAACATGTACAGCTCTGACGATCCTAACCTCGATTTGTCCTCGCTTCCCGTTGGCAGGTGTTAAGTTGTCGTCGGCCATTGCTTGCGTAAGGTCGGCCACTTCCTGCTCCATTTTCGTTGACGGAATGTCAGGATCTGCCTTTGAAATGTCCATTCGACTCAGCAGAACATCAATCCCCCTCTCTGTAAATACCCATGGACAGACTGACATGTTGGGCGCCAAGTCATGCTCCGCGTGGTTTTGAGTCTCCAAACCATCCAGGAGAGTGCATCGACCGTCAAGCACGTAGCCTTTTGCGCTGTATGTGCTACGCTCGGGGTCCACGACAATAACACCCGTGCATTCAGCTGTCTTGTTGCCATCGATAAACACATAAGCGACATAACAAATCGGATCTTTTGTTTTCCCACTTGTTTTTGATGACTCGCAGTCGATGGCATCTCTTGTATCTGACGATCCAGCATGTTGCGTGGAAGGTCTCAGTTTGTACCTGCCTTGGCTCTGGGGGACGTCTCTCGGTTCAGGAAATGGGAATTGCGGCTTGACTCGAATCCGGAATGTGACACCGTTTTTGGCTTGGATTTTCGTTGAAATGATCCCTCCACTCAACAATTTCGTGCCATACGTGGCGAAGGGCACTCCGTCAACCCCTTCGACCAAGATCTCGAAGCCTTGTGTAGTAGGCATCGTAGTGGGAGAAAGAGGCGTTCTTGAGCGGTAATAGCTGGGCTTGTTTGGTCTAGTTTAGCGGTGAAAATCGGTGAAAATCGCAAGAAGCCGATGCTGATGGTATTTTGAGACTCGGCAGAAAAGAAACCACTGATTCAAACGCTCAAGACCCAGGGCGCCACCCTTCCCCCCCCCCAAACATCGGGCTCAGTGCCCTCTGCTAACGACACTAGAACACACTACCCTGCACAAATACTCCAGCTGCGCATGCTCTAGGTCGGCTTTGTCTCGAATAGACCAATGCGTAGGTAGTCCCTTTGTCGAGGCAGTCTCTTTCAATCACTGACCAGGTCTGTTATCCCGCTCTTTAGGACTTACAAAGGAATGAAAAACGGCCTCGAGACCTGGTTTGAACAGCTGGCAAAATGAAATTCTGTCCAACAATCCTCATCGGCCTGGCGTTATCTCGTATCCCAGGAGGACCTCGGTCGAAGAGCCTTCCCACCCCCGGTTACCTCCAGCAGATAGCATGAACCGGCAAGCCGGATCTAGATAAAGGTGTGACACAACTCCAGTCCGATGACCAGGTACAATCAGGAACGGGACTGTCGATCGTTGGGACTGTGACTCTTTTAAATCATATAGTCGCAGTATATCATATGAAGCGCATATTAGATGGCGCCCGTTAGGCATGGCCTTCACGGACGTCACTGCACCACTTCCATTTGGAAATCGAAAGACTCGTTCAGGCCCCTTAAGTCCTTTTCGTAAGTCATACTCTTCCACCGTGTTGTTTCGTCGGCCTGCGTAGATGAAGTTGCCATCAGGAGACCAACATGCGCTCAGACACCAAGGAGGAGTGTTCCGTGGTAGGATACGCGCGACTGGCTTAGACTGTCTCCGGTCCCAGACACGTATTGCCCCATCGATGGATGTCGCAAGGAAGGTCGAGTCAGATGTAGGCGGTGCTTCGCTGTCCTGGGTGTCGTTCCGGCTGGCTTCTTGCTTTTCGAGGTCATCTGCATGCGGCAAGCCATTCACGAAAGGCTGTTCAACAGTGTTAGGAACGCCGTTGGCGACTTCGCCAGCGGTGTCTGAGGGATTTGGATGGTCTTGAGCCGGAGATACGGCTTCATGTGTCGGATTTGCAGAATCCAGCATGGGATGATCCACTAGTTCTTCTGGCTGTGGACCGTTTGCCATTGCGCGTGCCATTTCATCGTCCTCTTCTCCAAAGGCGTCGTTGAGATCACCACCATTACCCAAAACCCCGCCAGCTCCGCCTCCGAAGAGGTCGTCGTCATCGTCTCCAAATAGAGAATCCGGAGTAGCAACCGTGGGATGCTCTTGAGCATTCCGACTTGGAACCTCGTTTTTGACCCCGTTTGTAAGGGGCTTACCATCGTTGGATGAGAAGGTACCATTGGTTACAATGACTTCTCCCGATTCGGCCGGTACAGGCACAGATGACAGCGGGCGAGCTTCGATAGAAGATATCTGGCCAGCGCTGGCGGCGAATATGGTGCGTACTTGGCCGGTATTCAAGTCCCAGTCTAAGACTGTTTTGTCCCAACTTCCGGATAATAAGCTTCTCTCGTCAGAGGAGATGGTCAGCACTGAGACCGCGGATGTGTGTTTCTGCAACAACGCGACCTCCCTGCCTTCGTCGTGTCTGATTGATTGTAGTCTAATGGGACCTGAAGCGGTACCAGACAGCAGCCATAACGCTTGACTTTGACAGGCAAGGGAGTAAACAGGGGATAAGGTTCGAGTGGTACCGGGGCGAGCGTCCCAATTCTCCCAGTAAGTCATCAGAACCCCAGCTTTCACGACACTGTCGACGAAGGGGTGCCGTTGGGCCACCGTAAGGGCAAGCTTAAAGTTGACTGAATCAACCCAATTAAACTTGCGAATATAACCATCCGAGCCCCCAGTAAAGACCCATCTCATATCTGCAGTAGTGGTGACGGCATTGATTGATGTGCTGTGGGGGGCAGCGATGGTTGGGACGATATCATAGGTGTGTGCTTCAAGATATTCGGGGGAGATGTTTGAGCCCATTGCAGCTCCTCGGGAAGAGTCAACTTGTGTGGACGCAGCTGGTTGAGTGCCTTCTTGTGTTGCGTTCGGTTCACCGGAAGCATCCTCATTGTCGGATTGCTCAGATTGACTTTCAGCATCCTCTTCCTCCTCGCCATCGCCCTCAGCCTCGGCCTCAGCATCGCCGTCGACATCTAGATCCCCGTCGCCGTCGCCATCGCCGTCCACATCTTGATCCACGTCGCCGTCAGCATCGCCGTCAGCATCTGCATCTGCATCTGCATCATCCAGATCTTGCATGGTTTCATCACCATCGTTGTCGAAACTCCCGTCCTGAGATCGGTCGTCATCCTCATCAAATGCAGGCATTCTGCTGGCTCATGGCCTGTAGGCGGCAGTGTAGATTTTCCAGACACAGCCAAATATCTGATCAAATGAATAATCGTGAAAGCGCATCAATCGAACGTCAATGATCTCAAGATCGTTCATCTGAGGTGGAATTCCCAGACAGTGAGGGATCCTCAAAGCAGCAGATCGTACTATTCTGTCTGAGGCTTAGCGTTGACCTCGGGTATATGATTCTCCGTTCCGTAGTTCGTTCAAGCAAACAGTTGCCGACCACATTGAGACGGTAACTGTGCTGGTCGTCCGTCAATGGACTTCACGTCGTTCCAAGATACATGTCCTCTTGTTTTCTATCGATATTGTGAGTCGTATCCAGATGACAAGGCTGAGTACCTAAGCAGGTATACCGCCGACTCCAAGATCCCCTTTTCCCGTCCAGTCAGTATCAGACTACTATCGGCTCACTTTCTTGCACGTCCCCTTCAGTCCGTGGAAAGCGGACAGGTTGTATTCCAAGTCGAAGTCTTGTTGTCATTCCGAAAGAAACTCTTTCAGACGACAGCCCACGGTGCCGTGGACAGAAGCTAGACTACTGCTGGAAACACTTCACCGCCCCGCGGGACCATCATTGAGCTATATCTGGCTGGTTTGACGTCTGGGTTGGTGTCCTCCTGCTACCACTAGCATAGAAACCCCTCTCCTTCAAGTGACGCATGCTATGGAACCTCCAGATCCTAAAAGTCTTTTAGATTGTCTCTTGACTTGGAACCGTTCTGACTCCAAAAACCACGTGCTCATCTCTTGACGCAAAGTCTTCCTTATTGCACGTCCGCCTTCCGGATCTATGTCTTCGCACCTGTCAGCAGTTCACATTCATGCGGCCCCCTCGTCACCCTGACTTGAGTATAGTAGCTTCGGCTCATTGCAATCTTGTGTATTGGGGGCGGCTAAGAGATACCGGTCACATCAACTGCCTAGCGTTCTCTCAGACACGTCTGCGGCTTCAACATCATGGTGTCTGGACGAGAGTCAAATCATCGCGGACGTGGGCGAGGGAATCATCCCCGCGGTAGAGGTGTTGTTGGTATTGTCACCCTGCAACACCGAGGCGTGTCATTCACACCTCTATCCCCCCTCCCTCAACCCGGCTAATGACTGACACCCTGATGAAACAGACACCCACAATTCTTTTACCTTACTTGACGATGGACGTGAGTCCAAGCCCACACTTAGCTTCCAGCACCTCGAAAGCCTTGTCCCTACTTTTCAAGGATTAAAATCCCTGTCACCCCTCCTTCATTGAACGGAAATGTGCTGACGACTCACCAGAAATGAATCCAGGTCTGTCAGAGCGCTTCAAAAGCGGTCGCCGCCATCCAAACACTCGCAATGCCCCGGAAAATGCTTTTGACGATAGCCCAGGTCCCACTCTCACTTTAGACATTCGTGACTACAACGCAAAACAAGAACAGATCCAGTCCACTTCAGACAAAGATGCCTGGCTTTCCCAGCCTGAGATCCCGACAAAACAGGAACTAGCAGTCGGAGAAGCCAGTCTCCTTCCGAACAAGATTGACAGCCCATACAAGAGCAAGGACAGATACCTCAAAACTCACTATGCACTACTTCGGGAGGATGCTCTCGGTTCCCTTCGCGATGCTCTCCAAGACTTCTGCCAGGATCCCACGACTGGTGACACTGTGAAGTTCTCAGTATACGACCAAGTCCACATTGTTGGGTTTACTTTTACGCGACGAGGTGTTGCTGCCAGAATCCAATTTTCAGCGCATCGGGCAGGAAGACGCATCAAGTGGGCCAACAGCAAAAGACTTGTCAGTGGCAGTATTATCGCTCTCCTACCCGCAAAAACCAAAGTCATAGATTTGAATGACATGGTTGTGGCCGTCGTCGCAGCAAGGCCATTGGCAGGGGTGATGTGTGAGCCCCCAGAGATCGACATCTACTTCGGTCAGCCTGAAGATATTCAACTCGACCCACAGAAAGAGTGGCTCATGATCGAAGCAAAGCAAGGATACTTCGAAGCTTACCGTCACACATTGAAGGCATTGCAGAAGCTAAGCCAAGAGACGTACGTGCATTAGATGCAAGGTATGCCTTGCTGCGCTAATACATCTTAGATTCCCCATGTCTGATCATATCTGCCATCTTTCCCCTTCTGTCCTACCTCCTTCATACGTCCATGAAAATCCCACTCTCGACCTGAGCGCGGCTGCAATCCCGGCGCAGAAGCAAGAATACTCCAAAGTCGACGTCACCAAAGATTGGCCACCAGCGCCCACCGATTCGCTAGACGACACGCAATGGGAGGCTTTGAAAGAGATTCTCACCCGGCGACTAGCTATTGTCCAAGGGCCCCCTGGTACGGGAAAGACCTATGTCTCGAGAGTTGCACTTGAGGTTTTGCATGCCAATCGAAAGACGGCTTCAGACCCACCAATAATCATTGCTGCTCAGACGAATCACGCTCTCGATCAGCTTTTGGAACATGTCTCGGTCTTTGAGCCTAATTACATTCGTTTGGGAGGCCGTTCTACCAATTCGGAAGTCCAGAAGCGGGCTTTGTATGCGATTCGGAAGATGGAGAGACTCAGACCTATTCCAGGTGGCCTGCTCGGCAAAACCAACAACCTCTTGGTTAAACAAACAAACGCCATGATTGCGATGTTGGAACCTTTTGTTATGTCCGGTTCAGATCCCTGGTCCACCGATCAGGTGTCTGGCCCCAGGGTGCTCGAGAAACTGGGGGTAATCAACGCGCAACAAGCTCAATCACTCGAAGACGGTGCCTCGGAATGGGTCTCAGCAACCCCCACAACAGAGGGCCCCATACATTTGTGGCTGGATAAAGCACTCATTCCATTCGAAGTCAAGTACACAGAGGAGAATTACGGCTTCGAGGAAGCTGAGGATAACGATCTCGAATTTGAGCAGCTCAGAGAAAACGAAGACTCCACGGGAGTCAATGACGAGGAGGACATCGAGTTGCTCAAAGGCCCGTGGAAAGTACTTCACGACAGATTCACTGTCCAAACTCCGTCAGCCGCAGATCTTGCTAGAGCCGCAAAGTTACTGGACACTGTTTCGGACTTGTGGAAAATTCCCAACTACTTCCGAGGCCCCGTTTACCATATCATTCAGTCGCGAGCGAAGGACGCAATTGCCGCCAAGTTCCGCGACGCAGCCGTGGTTTACAACAAACTCGTTAAAGACCATCTTACTGGCAAATGGGAACAAGATATCGTCTATCTCCAACGAGCCTCGGTTGTTGGCATGACCACGACTGGTTTGAGCAAATACAGACCTCTCGTGGCAGCCCTTAAACCTAAGATTATCCTCATCGAAGAGGCGGCCGAGGTGTTGGAGGCTCCTGTCACGGTCGCATGCGTGGAGAGCCTCGAGCATCTCATCCTTGTGGGAGATCATCAACAGCTTCAGGGTCACTGCAGCGTCAAAGAACTAGAGGACAAACCTTTCTATCTGAACGTGTCTCTATTCGAGAGACTTGTCCGGAACAATATGCCATTCAAAATCCTACTCCACCAACGTCGAATGATGCCCGAATTTCGCCGACTCATCTCCGTCCTCTACCCGGATTTGAAGGACCATGCTAGTGTAGCCGACCGCCCGGTCGAGCCCTGGGGTATGGGCACGCTCGCATCCTTTTTCTTTGACCACGAATGGTGGGAGGCGAAAGATGAGTCCCTTTCGACGTATAACTCGGAAGAAGCCAAATTCATTGCGGGGTTCTACCGCTACCTGTATAGGAATGGTGTCGACCCTGCTAGGATCACCGTACTGACCTATTACAACGGACAACGCAAGCGCATTCTTACTGAGTTAAAGGCCTTCCCTGAGTTTTGGGCCCCTGGCCAGCTCAGTGTGAAGACGGTCGATTCATGTAAGCGACAGTCTCGTTAAACCCTGCTCTTGCTTGTCAGCCCCTGATCTGGTTCTCTTTAATGGGAGACGCTAGGTGCGGTCACTTGTGGCCTTTCCCTAGAATCCTGTTCAACTTCGAAAGGTATTGATTTTGTTGGTGACTTTGATACTGACCTTGCCATAGACCAGGGAGAAGAGAATGACATCGTCATCCTGTCACTCGCCCGAAATAACGAGGAAGGCAAAATTGGCTTCTTGTCCAACGTCAACAGAACCTGTGTAGCTCTTTCACGTGCGAAATACGGCTTTTACCTCTTCGGAAACGCTAAGATTCTCACGAATGGAAGTAACTTGTGGCACACTGTTCTCACACTGCTCGAAGAAAGTCCCAGACGCCGAGGTGATGTTCTCCCCATCCAGTGCAAACGCCATCGCAGAACAACCTTGATGAAATATCCAGCAGACTGGGAGAATAACGAAGGGGGGTGCATGCAGCCTTGCGACACGAACTTACGCTGTGGTCACCCCTGCCCTCATCCCTGTCACCAATACTCTCACGACAACGTCCACTGCACCCAGGACTGTTATAAAACGCTGCTGTGTGGCCATCATTGTAGCGGCAAATGTTCTCAGATATGCTATTGCGATTGTGAGGTTTTTGCGAAGTCCGATCAAGCTGGAGTGATGGGAGATGGGCCTGTTGTGTTTGCAGAAGATATAGTAAGATCACAGATCAATGGTCAGAAGCTTGCTTATGATGGCAGCGCATCTTGCTTACCTCAACAGGGCATTTCTGTCGATAATAGAAACGATGTTGGCCTAGCACCTTTCTCAGCATTGGGTCTTTGTGTTGATGTATCGCCCTCGACCTGGCCGGGACCGCCGAATCAAGGCGATCGGAGAGCGGCAAGTTGGGAACCGGCATCACGGAAGACTGTAAAGACTTATTCTTTATCTCCACAGAAGCAGGGTGAACTCGGGAAAGGCTGGAAAGACTTTGCCAAAAGGGGTTTCGTTGCTGATGATGAACGTCTAAATACGCTGACGATGCAATCTCCCTCTGGCCGGCACCAAAGCGGACTTCCCGAGGTGAACACCCGACATTTTCCTCCAAATGAACCATCGGTTGCGTCTTCAAAATCCCAGTGCGAGAATCAGACAAACTGCTCTCAGGTGTCACCGGTTAAGAGAGAAGCCGTTGTAGCCATGAGCAATGGCAGAACAAGATATTTGCACGAATACCAACTTAGATCGTCCCACAGCAGAGGCTCATGGCGTACCGCGGCAGTCCGTGGTCAATTTGCAAAGGGTAGCAGTTCCACTGTCAAAGAATTGAATCAAGTCTCAAACGGTCAAACTGAGGCAGAAAAGTCAGACAAAGCGAGAGTCGTGCGACGCCGTGGAGAGGCGCAATGAACCGATGGCTCCAGAACCCAAACAGCTGATATCAACAGAGTATAATGCCAAAGACAAGAAGATCACCAACGGTATCATGGATGATTTGAGAGAGTTTGATGCTTATTTCCGCAACCCTTGATTGGCGGCGACGGGGACGACAAAACGACAATGCCATGGGGCGCTGTTGTTAGAGCGTGAGCGGACGACACGGCAGATTTCAACCGACCACGCTATCGAGCTATTAATAGAGGGGAGTCGTTGGCACCGACGGGTGGGTGCAGATCACCACAAACACGTCACGATTAGTAAACAAATCCAATCAAGCGCCACAACAGTTCACGGGTTTGTGTGTAAGAAGACGTCCGGGATTCAGTTGGGAAAGCATTGTGAGCTTGCCTATGGCTATGGCATCGAGGGATGGAGAAAGGACAGTGGCATTCTGCACCTTTATGTGAATGTATCCTTGGTTTCATTCGTATTGGCTTCATCAAATCATGAGCTGATATGGACAAGAAATAGCTTTACAGTATTAAGAGCCTTCAAGTAGCTTGCTTTGCGCAACACGTTGATCTAGACAAACAAAGTTCCCTCAGGCACGACCATTTCGTCTTACCTTGTCCTTTCGACGCAGCTGTGCATCAAAGGAACAGAAGGTACTTTCGTCTTTCTTTACAGATGTCAATGCGTCCTCCATGACGCGAAGCGGGATATGGTTTCATCCGTCGTGACCGCCAGGAAACCGAACTCCTCTGCTGCTATGTACCGGTATGACGCCCTCAGAACCGCCCGATCCAAGAATCTTAGCAATTCTCGCTCGCTGGGAATGCGCGCTGAGATGTAGGAAATGACATCGCTTGACTCGTCGGCTGCAGGAGCCTCGCGTACAATCGGCTTTGCAGCCGAGTTCGCGAGTCGAGCGAACGGTAGCATCGAAATTCGATTCCAACTCCGACGCTGCAGGGAGGAGGTGGATGGATGGATGTTCTGTCTCCCTCTAGGTGGCCCTGTTGAAGCAGGAAGCCAACTGGCCAATTCCGCCCGAGCCTATCCATTCAATCTTGATAAATTTTTCACCCCACCTCAAAGTCACAGCAGTAGGAGTCCTAAAGCCACGGCCAGTGCAGTGCTCAGATAGCCATACCGACTGGTGGATAGTTCCGTTGAGTCGGATGACAAAGAAGAAGTGGTGAAGATCAGGTCGCTGGTGATCTGACTCGAGTTGAAGCAGTTGCTGGCATTGACTTCGGGGACGTCTTCGGGTTCAGCAAAGGTGATGTCGACACAGTTGTACAGCGCGGCGCCGTGGACTGCAGTCTCGATGAGCTGGATCGTTGCGTTGTCGCCGACATTGACGGTAACATTGGCAGGAAGAGGAACTTGGGGGAAACAGAAAGATCCTGGGTATGGATCTTTGCTGGGCCCGATGATTTGAACTCCGTTGAGCATGACGTTGGACATATTTTGTGGGGTTGTCCCCAGACCCAAATTGATGTAGATGAAGGCTGTTCCGTGGCCTTGGAACCACCCAGGTTGGAATGCGACCGCACCACCTTTTACCGGCCATTTGGTACGATTTTGCGAGGTGGGCATACCACCGCCTACCAGAGTCATGTCAGCAACCCCTCGGGATCAGGACGAAATTTGTCCGGAAGTACATACAAGGATACATCCATTGCATTCCATACGGATAAAGGTAGTCCTGTTCAGCCACAGACTGTCCGATGGCATATTGTCCTAAGCCATGTGTTTCTACCGTTGTGCCATTCGACCGTAGATTGTCTCCCCTCCAACCAGGATATGTTATGACCGTGTGCGCAGAGACGAGGCCGAGAAGCGAGAGCAGGACAAGTGCCATTCCCGCGGTCGATCTGCAGGGCATCCTGTGAGCGTCCGTCTCTTCGTGTCGATTTATTTCCTGAGGACTGCGGAAGCAGCGGTGTCGGGAGGAAGATTGCACAGTCAAGTGTTCTTCGAATGTTGCTGAGTGGGTGGCCTATATGGTCAATGGAGACGTTGGAAGACAAGGCCAAGTCGGTCGCAGGCGGCGAGCTTCTGTCAAGGTGGAAGACCGTCGAGGACCCATGATAACGGCATGGGAGTGTTATTTAGGTCTTTTCCCCTGTGGCCTGTGGGATGGGCAAACGGCGATGGGGGTAATGCAGGGCATGATTAGGCCAGACCAGCAGCCGCCCAGAAATGAGGCGTAGAGACGCCGTGACTGGCTTGCTGGGCTCTCGGGACGTGAGACCTGTGTGTAGGGCGAGCTGTGAGTGGTTTGTGAAGATGAGTGGCACTTTTCGGAGAGTGTGAAAGACAGCAACAGGGTTGACTAGGTTGACAGGTCGGGAGCGAGTTGTGATGGCGCATCTGATTCGAGGCAGGGCACCATCAAGCACCGAGAAGCACCAGCTGGTCGAGGTGCATCTGGAGGAGTCGATTGGATGGCTGCTGATGGAGGTGGGCGGCGGTGGCCAGCGGGGCCAGCGGGGGCCGCGGCGGAAAGCAATGGACGGAGCTGGCTGGTGAAGTCCAGTCTCCTAAGCGCCGAGTTGTGACAAGGATCTTCCTCGCTTTCTCATCTGTCACCCTCACACCTGCCACCTGGGCTGTTTCCTTCCCCGCCGCCCACCATCTCACCACCATCGTCGGAGTTTCCCCTTCGGCTGATCATTGAACTCCGACCTCTGCACGAGGTACTCGGCGGTCCCTATCTCAACACCACGCATTGCAGGCGGCTGCACAGATTGCGGGAGTCAGGAGAGAAGCAATCAATCACTTTCGCAAGCCGCCCAGCAAATGCGCTATTACGCCAACGCCACGCCACCCGTCAGTCCCAGCGAAGAATGCCATCTTTTCTTAGGTCTTACTTCGGACCAGGTCCTCCGTCCCTATGGTGCAGATGGAGCTACCCAGTGCTTCTGCCAAATGGCGGGCCTAAAGAAAGGCCCCGCAGCACCTCTATCGATCCCAGTGTGCTGCCAAATGTTCCTTGCACTTTGTCACGGTCCCCAGTTCTCATAGAGCCTGTTCGCTCCTGCCCATCTTCGGATTAATAACAACTGCTGCCGAGTCCAGCTTTGCCGCATTTGGCTTTTTCTTAGTCTCGGGAGACTGCCGTATCAAACCTTGGATTCGACGAGGCTAAATGCTCCCTTCTTGACCCTCTCTTCCGTCTCATCTTCAACATCGACGCCTTGGTGATCAACAGAACGCTTTGATATGCTCCATCAATTCAGATCCCTTATTGTCTTTAGAGGCTCTTTGACCGCCGACTGCATGTTAGTTTGTCCGTTTCTCTTCGACTTTTCGAATATGGCTCAGGTAAGCCAATTCGAATGCCTTCGGACGAGTGCAAGATCCCCCTTCGCTGCCTTTGCTTTCAAATAGGTGGAAATAAAGCCATCATTGCTTATAAATAAGAAATCGGAACGGAAACTTGGAGAGTGAGAAATGTCTATATATTGCGTCAACTCGACCGGAGGAGATCAGTGTCAACAACATCATCTGTTAGCAATCTCAACAATATCTCCAGAAATTACGGAAACAGGCACCGGCGACGAATCCGCAAATCCTCCAAGATCGACATGCCATCTTTCTTGGTGACAGGAGCCAATCGCGGCCTTGGAGTAGGTCAGAAACCAAAACATTCGAGGGGCTCTACTGACACCTCTCCAGTACGGTTTTGTGCAGTGTCTGGCCAAGGATCCCGAAAATACCGTCATCGGCATCGTGCGGGACAAAGCGGCTGCAGATAAGTCTGTTGCTGCCGATGGCCTCAAGAACGTCACCATGATCCAGGCCGAGGTCACCAACTATACATCGCTGTTGAGCGCCAGAGAAAAGGTGGCTCAAATTACTGGTGGATCACTCGACTATTTGATCAACAACGCCGCGTGGATTGACCGAACAACCGCCGGCAAGGGTCTGGACGACTTCGAAGATACACCGGAAATCCTGGATAGGGGCCTGGTCGAGTCTTTCAACGTCAATGTGGTCGGCGTGATCCATGTCACCAACGTCTTCCTTCCGCTCATCAAGAAGGGTTCCGCAAAGAAAGTGGTCCTTATCTCCAGTGGAATGGCCGACCCGGATCTTGTCAATTCGGGGATTTTCGCTGACGGCCCCTACACCATCAGCAAGGCTGCGGCTAATATGGCCATATTCAAATATAATGCAAAGTACAAGAAGGAAGGCATTCTTTTCTTTGCCCTGTCGCCTGGCGTAGTGGCAACTTGGATGGAAGAAGAAGGAGAGCCCCCGGTGATCAGTGAACTGAGAAAGAATGCTCCGGGTTGGAAAGGACCTCTGACCCCGCAGGAATCGGCCGAGGCCTGCCTGAAGGTGATGCGCGAGTTCAATGTGGAAGAAAATGGTGGCTCTTTTGTGTCTCACCACGGGACCAAGCAGTGGTTGTGAAATTATGAGGTGATGATGGAATAGGTCGAGCAGAATGGAGTAAGTGTAAAAGGCCATTAAAAGATCCTGTGCTCTATCACTCGGCTGGGTCTTGGCGGGCACGCTTTGATAATTATTTTCAAATCGTGGATTAATAGGGTCACGTACTTCTGTGCCCATGTACATCGATATGCCCTGCAGCTGCAGATCACTCTCCGACACAAGATCGAATTCCTCCGATATGTGCGCGCGGTCTCTGCGGTCTAGGAGCCTTGTGCAGGAATTTTCCGGCGGCCGTCTCCTTCATTCACCTAGCGATCCTCTTCTTGCGCTTTCCTGCCCACTTGGCCCTTCCTTCAGAGTTCCCCCTTGAGGCTCAGATCACGGGTGTGGCTCTCACGATGCCGCATACAAGTCGCAAGAAAAAAAGTCTCCACAACAAGAGGAGGGAAATTTTGGACGATGACGGTTGGACGAGAATCACATCCAGCTTCTCAGCGTCGCCGCCGACAATCCAGACGCACTCGACTCACAGCGAGTCAGAGCAGAACTCGAACTGGACTGCTGGTGGAGACGCCATCAAAGAGCTCTCTCCACCGATCTCCCTCCCAATGTCGGTCGCCAAAGGATCAACGCTTGAGACAATGCGGGCGCAGTTCGCCGGCATTGAGGTGAGATGGCGGGAAACAAACCTCTGCAAGATGCTTGAACAAACGCTGACAGACAAGATCTGGACCGGGAAATGTAAAGTATCTAACTGTGCTGTTTTTGGGACAGGCAGCTTTTGCGGTGATGCGGTTCATTGGATTGACAGACACGAGTCGGCATATTTTCAACTGGCGGCCTTCAGAACCGTGGTCAAAGCGATGGAACGATTGCAGGCTCATCCTCTGCGAGCGTATGCCCAAGAGCCATATTACAATGATCTGGATGGCCTCTTCCTGGCCAGCCTCAACATTACGAAAGTTGACCACCCAAAAGGATTCGAACTGCTTGATCGGGATTCGTTCGTCTACTCTCCGGCTGCCGAACAAGAGGTTGAGAGCCAGATCATGTCTTGCGGTCCACGGATATGGCTGCACAGATCTTTTGGCCACTCGCTTCTGGGGAGCCAGGAAGCAAAGGCAAGCTTTGAGGCGAAAACTAAGTTCAAACAGGGCCACGAGCACGCAGAAATGCCTGAGTTGGTTCTCAAAAACTTCCCGTTCCATGGCTCAGTGATGTGGTGGCGCAAAGACGATGGCATTCCGGGCCATGTCCAAGCCTCATGACAATTTGTATTAACTCAGGCTCGAATCACTTGATCTCTGCACTCTGAACAACTGTTCCAAAAGCGTCGTTCAACTCCTTCAACACTGCCTCGGTGACCTCAGCCCCACCAAACCCGGGAATCTGTAAAAGACGTTAGAAACTGGGTCGGCCTGACCATTGCGTGCGGAAGAGCTGCATGCAAGCGCAAGAAGACTCGAGATATTGACTTCTTCGCACCCGTGTACCACCTCACCGGTGAGGGTTTGGGGGCCTAGGGACAACTCACATCTCGATCTCCGATGGCATCACTGGCCAGGAGGACGTTGTATCCCAAGTCATTACCCGCTCGGGCTGTGGTGCTCACACAAACATGTGCCATGTAACCCGTCAGGACCGTCTTCTTGCCCCTCTCCCCCAGACTGGTCAGGTACTCATGCAGATCCGTGCCGACAAAGCTGGAAACGGCTTCCTTCTGAATCACCTTTTCGCCCGGACGGGCTTTCAGCTCATCAAACTCTTCGGCAAGCGGTGTGTTGGGAGTGAATACGGGGGCGCCTGCGGGAGTCTTGTGGACGATGTGGACGATGTTTTTCCCGTCTCCAGCGGCACGGTATTTCTCGAGTAGCGAAGCGATGGCCTTGCGGGTCTGCTCTACGTTGACGGTCTTGAGGTTGCCTTGGGCGTATCTGCGCCATTTGGTCAGGGTCAATCAGGGAAAATTGGGCCAAGTGGCAGCAGTGGGCCATTGCCAACATACTCATTTTGGGCATCGATGATGATCAGCGTGCTGTCGCTCGGGGAGGCAGTGGCGGGGGCAACGCCGACCATCTCCCTGAAAGACTTGACTTGGGTCGCCGAGGCCATTATGAATGCGGACAGGAGACGCTCTTCTCGGACAGAGGGGAGAAACGGGGACGTTTCGACACAAAGGAGAGGGAACTGGGGGGTTATGTATGGTGTTTATATGTATGCGTGTGTTTCTTCCTCCGTCCGTCCGTCAAGCGTCAAGCATCAATCGTCAAGCGTCAATCGTCAAGCATGGGGATCCGAAATAAAAAGAATCCGCGGCGGGGGGGGGAAGGAAAAAAGCTCTGTGCTCTCCCTCCCTCCCTCCCTTCCTTCGCTGGTGCTGCTCCACTAATATGGTAATAATATCTCCAATGCATTTCCGCCTAGGGATTTTGTCATCAAGAACAGGCGGATCCAACGCTCGCTCGCTTGTACTTCGGACACAGCCCCTCACTAAACAGGTGCTTAGCTCACTGGGCCAACTAAACTATCCGACCAACTGACTACGAGTCCGTACTGGTACATTGTACATTGAATAGCAGAATAGTACTCGGATACCTAGGTAGGTAGGTAGGTAGGTAGGTAGGCAGGTAGGTAGGTTACAACTCTGTCGCACTCGGTATGCATATGTAGCTGGTCTCGCAGGACATGGATGTTGTACTTATCCTTTTCTTTTCCCCGCCGGGATCAAAAGCTGTCGATGACGATATTACCGCGGTGGCCAGGATTTAGCTGGGTGGTACGTACTTGGTAATGGCAGCGGTGGTGGTGGTGATGGTGGTGGTGTTACCGAGTACATAGTGATGCAGATGCAGATGACATACGAGATCTCCAAGGCCACTCGCTTGTTGTTCGTGTTCGTGTTCGGCGGTAAAGTGCCTGATTCGTTCCCTCCTCCCCTTCCGCTTCCTGTTCGCCCCCGCTGCGGCGACGATGATCCTGGAGACGCTGGTGGACCCGAGACGTGTGTGCGATATGGCGTAACCTGATGTGATGTGATGCGAGGTGATGCCATGGACGGTGATTATGAACCCATTCTACCCATCACTCACCTCCTGGGGTCAGTCCAGCGGGAGACCTTCCAGAGGCAGGCGGGTATGTAGCGGTTTTACAAAAAGACCTGATGAATTCCCGCCTGGATCGAGGGCGGAGTCTCGATGCAGGATGTTTACCATGCAGCATGTACGAGGTCACAGGGATTGATTCCTCCAAGACAGAGAACGACATGTATGCTTCATAGATACACGTACCTAAGGAACTTGACAAGAGAATACCCACGTCGACGAGCATGTCATCTTCTGAATCGCAATCCGAATGCGCCTACCCTGGTCCTACCTGATCCATATATATTGGCTCAGCAAAGGCGAGAAAGAAGCCAACTACATGGTCTTCCCTCGTCCGAGTCAAATAATTGTCTTGCCGCCATGTACACAGGAGATTTGTCAGAGCATATGCACATGAATATATATTCGGTAAGCTTAGCCCAGATGACCCCCTTTACCCATTCCCATCCCCTTCCATATTACCACATGCTTCCACCTCATCGGCCCCCCTTCACCTCGCCTCGCCACCCCCTCTTCTCCCAATTCCATCTTGGACTCTACAATCGGGAACCGTGGATGATCTTCATATCCACAATCAACTCCCGTCCACCATCGTTGATGACCAACACTCGGACACTGCCTCTGCCGTCGGCGAAGGCTCGATCAATCCGGTTGAACAGGCCGCCCTGGTCAATGACAGGCAAGCCCTGCTTGACATCGCCGCTCTCGGTCATGCAGACAATCAGGCCGTCCTCACGGATGTCCAAGACACGGTACTGCTTGAAGACTGGGCCGAGCATGGTCTGCACAACCACGGATGGAGCAGGATTGCTGATGAAGGAGCTCTCCTCGTGCAATTGGCGGGTGAACAGGTCAACACCCAGGTAGCGGTATTGGCCGGTCTGAGAGGACATGCTGATGCGGATGACCTGCGAGGGACGACCCTGGAGAAGAAGAATATCGCCGATGCGGATGAAGTGGCATTGGATGGGCACACCACGGCCGCCGAAACGAGGCTCGACGAAACGGACTTGCTCAACAGAGCCGTCACGGACACGGGTTGGGCCAGTTGTCTCTCTTGTCTCTGTCACGACAACCTCGTCACGGCCACCGTCGCGGTGATGCTGGTGGTGGGTGAAAGGGTGCATGATGCGGTCGGCAGCACGCTCCACACCGCGGCGGAAGCTGTGGTAGTTGCCGTCGTCGTCGTAGTAACCCATGTCTCTTCTTCGAACTGGTTGATCGACCTTGATCTCTTGCTTCTGGACTGTGATATCGGCTTGGACGGGACGGCGACGTTCGTACTCAACGTCGTAGGTGGGATCGACGCGGCGGCGGTACTCTCGCTCAGTTATGTCTAGCTGAGACTCTAAGGTCTTGTCGTAGGTCTGACGGCGGTCGTAGTCAACTTCAACGTGGTCCCGGGTGTCGCGACGATCGATCTCGATGTCAACGTTGGTAGCACGCGTGTCTCGGCGATCAGCTTCAAAACCGACGTCGGTGGGAAATCGCGAGTCTCGACGGTCGACTTCGATGTTAACGTTGGCGGCCTTGTAGTCAGTAGGTCCGCGGTACCTGTGGGAGACAGAGACGGCGAGTTAGCAACGTGGACGGGTCCATCAGGGGGGTCCATGCGTCGGACGCATGGGCGGCACAAATTCTAAGCACAGGGCATTGGGGCACGGAACGCAATGAGGCACGTACTTCTCGCGTGTGAGCTCTACCTCGGGGTATCTTCGATCACGCTCCTCGTAGACACGCACGTCCTCTCGTTGATATTGGTCGCGGCGTGGACGGCTGTCTCTCACGGAGATGTCGACTTCTTGCTTAGAAAATCGAGTATCTTCCCGTCCGACGCGCGAGGAGGGTCTGGGTAATTGAACTTCCCCTTCTACCTTGGTGACGGTAGTTTCTTCGGCAGAAGCGTCACTCCTGTACGTAGACGGGAAGACACTGATTGGGATGGGGACTCGGGCGTCAAAGTCCAGGTTGCCAGCTCTAAAAGGCGCCTCAACTCTCTTCTCCCTTGCGGCAGTCGAGAGTCAAGACTGTCTTTTGGGGGAATCTGGTTCTCTGGAGGGAAGAGAGGAACGAAGAGTTGCACGAGGAAGCCAACAATGCACGCTGAGCAAAAGGAGCAATGATGCTTGAAAGTTGTAGAGCAAAAAGGCCAAAGGTGTGCAGTGTGTTTATGAAGAAAGGGGAAAGAGGAAGAGCAGGGACCATCAGCAACAAGAGGCCTTTTTAAGTGAGTGGAGATTGGGATTGGCACCATTCGGGGAGGGGAGAGCTGGGAGCTGATTTCTGTGGCCAGTCGCCCAGTTCCCACACAAAGGTGCTTGGGGACTGTACAGTGCACAGACAACAAGCGACACGCTTGTTGACCATGTTTTGCCCTACTGACCCGGTTGTCACGGTAGCGAAAAACGCGAAATCCCAATGCAGTAAAGTCGCTTTTCGGCTCAGTCATCGCCGATTCCGGTGTTGGACCAGCTGGTGCCTGCGCCCCTTCACACAATTCTTTCATTTCTGTCCAATTTCTTCGTCGTCGACACAGCGCGACAAGAGACTCTTGATATGGATGAACACTCCGTACCGATTGACAGCTGCCCCGATGGACCCAGTACCGGCCTTTCCAGATGGTGTGCCACACCTGCAAGCTCCGCTCCCCAGCCATCCAGCCATCCAGCCATCCAGCCATCTCGGCCCCTCCTCGAGCCCAAAGAAAATTATCGTGTATCCTGATCATTGGCCTTGTGTCACTCTTATGCCTCACCGACGCAGCGAAAAGAAGCCTCTCATGCACTCCTCCCTGACCTTCCGGAACCCGTGCATCCCATCTGACACCGTTCTGCCAGTTGACGTGAAGAGGCGGACATGCTTGACGCGTGGGCGAGCACGCCCTGGGCCTTGCCTGCAGCTTCTCAGCTGCCTCCAGTCGAGCTAGCTGCATTGGCGCATATGCAGCAGCTTCGGCATCCCATGCAGCTCGCAAACTCCCCCACCCAACGACGGGCCACATCAACAGGGATGTAGATCCAAAAAGAAACATATCCCAAAGACATTTGTAGTGAGATCAATGCATGTGGAATTCCATGACGGTTGGTGCCTTGTCCTCTTCTTTTCTGTCTATCTCTCTCTCTCTCTTCCCTCCTAGCTCTGTCCTCCCATTGCCCCTCCTAGGACTCGTCGCTCTTTGTGTCTACGGTAATCTATCCAACCCTTCCCCCCCAAAAAGCTTTTCTGGGTGCCCACAAGCATGGTAAATCAGCCAAGTCAAGTCGATATAGCTCAGTGCTCGTATTCCAAACCCGCCCGCTCCACTCTGAAACTTGCGCCTTGCTATGCCTTTTCTAACTCACAATTGGTGTATTCCGCATCCCTCCATTTACAGAGGACTGCCCGCAAAGCATATTCTGCCTTAGTGCCTCTGCACACAGTTCCATTCATACTGCATCTGTTAGTTAGCCAGAGCTCTTTGTGAGACGGGATGTCGAGGCGGAGAAACTTACCACTCGCCCATCCTCATCCCCGGTGTACACAACTTGTGGCATCGGCAGGATGCAACTGATCCCTGCACTCACATTTGCTCCATCATCCCGGCTGTTGTCAGCATGATTGAGCTGTCGAATGAGCTCCAATTCGAAGCGGCCCTCGCGGGTCACTTTGCTCCAGATACGGACCTGTCCCCTCTTGTGGCCTGTAAAGACGAGGTCTCGTTCCAGCCACTCGTTGCCCGCTCCCTCGTAGCATGCGCACGAGACAATGCTCTCCTGCGAGCGCTCCCCAGAGTCCTGTCGCAGCAGCAGATCGCCGTTCAGCGTATACATGCTAATCTCATGCCCATGACAGAGGATAATATTCCCCGTGACGTCGTTGATGGCCGCACATTGCACTGGCAGCTCATCATCCAACTTGCGGATGAATTCGCAACGATTGAGATCCCAGAGCATCACCTGTCCGTCTGTCGAAGCAGACAGTAGCGCATTGAAAGACTTGGATATGGCCAAAGAGCTCACCGGCTTGCGGTGGCCGAAAAGTGTGGCCCGCGGATGTAGTTCTACGGTCTTCCCGTTTTCCATGACTGTCCATACGGCCACGGTGCAATCTGTCCCAGCAGTGATCAGCGTTTTCGAATCCGCAAACAGCGCACAAGACAATTGTCCGATGTGCAAATGCTCAAAAAGCCCCATCTGCTTCCTGCTCTCGGTCGAGTAGAAACGGACGCTGTTGTCGGAAAAGCCCCATTCCAGGTACATCTCGTAATCTGGGGGAATGTTCAGTCTGAATGGCCCGGAGCAGAGCAACCGGTCAGACTTCCAGGAATATCTGAGCGAGGCCACTCGTTCCCCAGTCTCCAAGAGAGTTGATGGAATGCGAGTCAATGATTCCGCGGCGGTGTCAAGCCGCTTGTAACGATGCCGGATTTGCTCCCGTGCGGGATGAGGTTTGGTAAAGACCTGATATGGGGTCTGACCGAAGTTATGAATGATGCCAATGGTTGCGAGCCGTTCCATCGGGTCGCTGATGGCGTCCAAATCTTTCGCACCTTGGTATGATAGATAATGGAATACGTTCACGGCTTCCACCGCGGCTTCGCCCTTCTGCTTACTGCCAAAGATCAGATCAATCCATTTGTGTAGGTTGCGGCTAACATAGGGACTCTCGAGTGCCTCACGCTGCTTGGCAATAAAGATGCGAGGATCGCCTTTTGCCCACGGCGGAAGCTCAACATTTCCGATTGACTGCGAGGTTTGCCTCGTTCCGAAGTCGAAATCATTGACGTTGACCAGAAACTCTGGCAGATAGTAAAATTCAGGGGTCAATTCGCGGACGTCGGTCATGTTCATGCGAGCGGCAGACCTCCAAGCCCCTTCTATCGAGAAAAACATGCGATCAGGATGGTCAAATGTGCCCCCCTGCAAGAGGAGATACGACTTGACGAAGGGTTGCAAGCGAATCAGATACGATGTCACAATCATTGCCGAGGAATAGTGCGTTCCATAATGAAAAGCCGGAGTATTGGTGTCGCCCATTTCCGCAAAAGTTTGGTATCGCTCTCTGAATTCTCTCTCACGTTCGATCGTCTGACAACCCATGGGTTTGGAGAGATCACGAAATGTCCTTGGATCTGTCAGGTCAAGTTCTTCACTGGTGTAGTCGGCGATGACCCATGGGAACACAGGATACTGTGTCAAGTCGTTGTATGTCCTTCCAGCCATCGTGTTAATCAGCATCAGATAGTGGAAATTTGACATTTCCCCCTTTTGCCATTTCCGAGTTGCTGCGAGAGAGCTCGACTGCTGACCGAACACGTTTGCAAACTTGGACCCAAAAGTCTGGGGTTCGTCATCCACACTCCTCAAAGTCTCATAGCGCCAGGCTGTCTCCGAATGACTGCTCGGTCCGTTGGGTGAAGGGGCTTTGGCGCTGATAAGACTGTGCAAGTCATTCCGGATCTGAGGCGAGGTCACAGTCAGCAAGTAGCTTCTCCCATCGCCGAAGAAGATCTCGATTGCGACATCTCGAAAGAGAAAGCGCCGCTTGGAAACACTGATGATGTCAGACCACTTCCAGCTTCGAGTGCCGTGTTCATCACTGCGCGAGACGATCTTGCGTTCCGTGACGTCTCGCCCAGAGATCATTCGCACGTAAGGATCTCGCTCTTCTTGTGGTGCTTGCCAAACATTCACAATCTCGCCATCGGCGCGTTGAAAGAAATTGTCGAGGATATAAACATAGTCTTTGCCCAGGATGAGCAGACCCTCCACAGCCTCAAGTCCGAGAATCCGCGAAATGTTGGCAACATGCTTGACCTGATCTCCGCGATGGAGACTGCGCATTACCTTCCGATTCTTGTCCTCGAATTCGTCCATCTCAGCATTTGGGTCCTCAACCAATTCGAAACTGTCTTCGCCTTCCATGGCTTCGCTCTGTGTATCGTTGCTGGCTGACTGATCAGGAGTTTGATCACTACTTTCTTGAAGTGCAGGGAAAGGCTCGGTCCCCGCGCTCACGGGCTTGGGGGTGTCGACAACTAGTGTTGTCCCGCCTGGGGTGATGCCGCTCGGTGTGACTCCGCCTGGGGTGACCCCTATCGACTCGGCTGTGGACATTTTGGTGTTCTTAGTATCAAGCCGCAGTTGTGGCATGTCAGACCCTTTCCGCTTTGGCTGCTGATCTTCTTCTGTGTAGGTGTAATCCTCATGTAGTCGCATACGCATTCGATTTCGCCCCTCTGTTTGATCCAATCTCCATTTTCTGGGTTTGTTGACAGCGAACAACCCCGGGGGTTTAGTGGTATCTCTTTGCATCCGATTGAAGGCGGCTTCAGTGTACACAAGATCATCCTGCTGGTCTTGGAGCAGTCTCTGATGCTTGAGGTATTCAGAGGAGTAGATGTTAGCGGTCCAGTTTTCGAAAGCGAGCTCATGGCGCCGGATCAGATCATCGCGGTCTGCCTCTTCCCGTGCCCATTGCTTGACCTTCTCTCGTCGGCGTGCTATCCTCATACGACCGTTTTCTTCGGTCCTCTTATTTTCCGAAGTGACAAATGCATTCCACTGCTTCGAAAGTGTATCAAAGAACAAGGAATCAAGTTCACTTCGGTGCTCGTCGACCCAGTAAAGGAATGTTTCATTGTCAATTTCAACCAGCTTCGAAAAACCGCCAGCCAACCCTTTTTGCTCCGTCGTATCGGTTTGCCCAAAGATTGCTGCTGCTTCATCAGGCTTTTGAACGAGAATAATCCTCCACAAATTCGCCGCCGCTTGTCGTACAGCATCGGTTGAGGAGATGAGGTTGGCGTACAGAAGGTAGCAAATCAATTGTAAATTGGCTGATTGGGTGTCTTCGCCAGAGAGTAGGACCGTCTGCCAGTATGTTAACTTTTCCAGAAAGTGTAACGAGTCGTTGTCGTGGATTGACGAAAGGCTAAGAAGGACTGTCCGGAAAACGACAGCGCGGATGATGGCAATTGTTTGAGCACACAGCCGCACGCTCTTCAATTTTGAAATATCAGGACGTTGGAGATATTCCAATATAGATCCCGACAAGTCGAGGACCGGATCCGCACCGCCAATAAACCATCCTTCGAAGAGAGCCTCTTCAAGGTGCCCAAAGAGACGGGCTAGGTTGATCAAAACCCTTGGCTCCGTCAAGAGCGTCTGATTTAGCGCGATATGGTTCGCGAGCTGGGACACGGTGTTTCTCAAGATCCACGTTTCGAAGTAAGACTGGTGTTCGATGAACCCGGGCGGCGTTTTCAAAAAAAGACCAAGTCCTGGAAATTCTTTCCGGACGAGTAACTGATCCATGAAAATAGATATGAGGATCTCCAACAAGCTCTGAACGATAGAATGACCGTCATGGAGTTCTGGTACTTTTGCCACAGCCGAGTTCAAGCCACGAGAAGCTGAAGCTGCAGTAGTGGTGACAGAACCATTGTTGTGGGCGTGGTCCTTGGTGACGAGGACAAAGGACGAGCCTCTCCGAAGGGTCTTCCCTCTGGTCGCCGTAGATGAGGTTTCTGTGTCCACCGTCCGGATAACGGGGGGAGTGGTTGAAAGCGGATGAACAACAACATCTCCGCCATCAAATGTAAGCGTCGAATCCCGGGCATCCAACTCCGTTTTCGCTTGAACCACGTCAGAACCTACCACAACAGGGAACAAAACTGCGAGGAGATCTTGAATGTACGATGACGTTACTGCAAAGTCTCGGAACTTCTGCGACCTGGCGTGGAGATCCGCAAGGAATTGGACAACGGTGTTGAACGTCTCGACGTGCTGACTTGTCACAATTGTGAGCATTGGATTCGGCGGTGCCATGGTTGACATGGAAAGTCTCTCAGGAGGGCCGCCCAACTCTTCCAGTGGCGGCGCCAGAAAGGAAGCAGCTTGGTGCCTTTTCGATGACACAATTGTTTTCAGGCCGCTCTGCAACATTCCCATGATGACCTCGAGAACTTCTGGATAGAAAACTGAGAGCTCTTTTTGATTGGCAAAGAGCTCGATAAATCCAAACAGGTCAAAGTTTCTATCCAGATCTAGATTTGCAACGTCAAGATCAAATAGCACGGCGAACAGAGCAGGCCATAATGCAGGAAGATGCCACCATCTCTTCAAACGATATGTCATGATGGTGAAGCCAGAAGTCTTGGAGGTGTCTTTGAATTTCTTGACATAGGTGTCGCCATGCACAACGAGCAATCTCGCCAAAATCCTCATCGAAAGCACCACGACTTCTGGTGATGTCTCAGACAGCAGGTAGAGTAGCCATTTGTTCGTAACCGTCTTGGCAAATTTTTTGATCAGGCTCTCGTCGCCTTTGCGGCATAGCATCTCTGAATAAAGGCGCAGAACCTCCATTCCGATCTCAAAATGAGACAAAGTCAAGGCTGCTTCGTCCTTGGGACCGTGAGATGACCCAGCTGACGAACTTCTTTGCCGTGCTTCCCTGCGGATGGGTTTCCGCGCTTGCAATCCCACATTGCGTTTGTTTACCGAGAATGTTATAAACAGTGCCAGTGAGCGCAAAGTTTCCGCCGACAATGTTTGGGGCAGGAGAACCTTGATTGCTGCCATATACTGTGGCATGATGGCCCGCGCCACAGGCTCCGATTTCAGTGCTTCCATCAGTCGTTTAAGCACTCTCATTCTTGCTAACCTCTTTAAGTTGAAGCGTTTGTATTCACTTTGCTCCCCAAATACCAAGAATTGGTCAAAGTATAACTGTTGCACAGGAAGTGGGCCACATCTCCACAGGCCAGTGTCTGCTACCAAGACTTTGTAAGCGAGAGGGTTGTTGATGACAGATTTCGTGGGATCTTCAGAATTATAGCCAGTGAAGGAAAGAATCGAGGTCAATATCCGCATGCTCAACCCTGTTCTATCGAGTCTCGATGTTGGGATTGCCCAGGCGACTTTCACAGCTTCGCCGCTGTTCTGAGAGGGAAGGCTGAGCTTCTCTTTCAATAACATCGCCAAAATTGCGTACCCGCCATCCCTTTCCATTACTTCGCTGTTTCTCCAACTGTGTCGGACTGTTTCCAAGAGGATATCAACCCCGAGGGCAACGTCTTCCGTCGTCCGCGCTCGTTGAACGAGTCCCAGTCCGACGGCGCCGCAACCACCCAAACGCCAGCTGGCATCGTCCAATGATTGTGGCACTGTCACTGTGGGATCACCCATGAGGAGAAAGACGCCTCTTGCTTGGGTCAACGCGTCATTAATCGAGGGCACTGCGCCATTGATCGCCACAGCACTCATGCCCGAACGCGTGTAGGCCACCAGATTTTTCGCCGCCAGCTTTGACAGCGACTTGACCAATTGAGTTTCATCAATGTTGTTTCGATCATCGCTGTCGAGGATTGTTGCAGGGGAAACATTGATCAGTATTTTGTCCTCGCGGATGAGACTGCTTGCCTTCTGTCGGATGGCCATGATGAGTTCTGACTGCTCTTCCTTTCCGGGGTGTAACATCTCGTTCCGTAAATTCAATGCTGCGGAGGCCTCGTACGTCTGGAAAGAACCAAGGCAATCCTGAAAATTACCATGATACTTTGGACCAAGATAGTAGAAGACGGCGATTAAATCATCGCTTATGGTCTCTTGAAACAGGATTGCAGAACCTAGCGACCACTTTGACGAGCAAGCCACTCCAGCAGAACTCGGGGATAGATCTTGGGGCGTGCCGAAAAAGGCTTGGATCTTGACAATGCTTTGACCTCGATCATTCGGGGGTGCCGAGGGGTAGTTTGCCTTCTGTTGCTCGACGAAGTCTCCATCCACAAATAGCAAAGCCTTGGAAGAAGAGGTCGTCCGTGGTCGTTTGTGCACCACACAGATATGATACCATCGATCTGGCTGAAAAGCAACTGATTTGAATCTGACACTGGGTCTGTTGCCTTGTATCGCAGTCTGCAGAATAAGGTGATGGGTGTCTTTCTCGAGGTAAGCTAAAACGAAACAGGTTTGAGTTCTGTCGAAAGCGCCAAAGAGTGTGGTGTGGGCTTGGGTATCGAAGGCGTCAAAGCGCGCCCAGAGGCACAGAGTGTATCCGCCAGTGTCCAGAGGTGGGAATGGTCTACCAAGAGTGGCCAGTTCTGTGGATGCATAGCCATGCTGGGACAGATCGAACTGCAGACTCGGCGGCTGCCGGGAAACAATGATAGCATCATGCAGGAATGAAGCTGCGTCGGAAGATGTACTGGCCAGTTTGAAAAGAAAATGTGCGTCATCCAGGTGGGAGATCCCTTCTTGACACAAAAGCAGGGCAACTTCCCTCATCAGACTTCTTTCAGTCGCAGACAGTTTCTCTTCAAAGATCAGCCTGAGAACTGCGGTGAAGGTTCCGGCAGTGTGTGCAGACACGATATTCTGCCTCGATATTAAAAGAATTTCCTGGAAGCTGAGTGGCAGTGCAACTCTCATGAGCCGTTGCGGAATCTTCCCAGCCTTGATACCGGTTGTCCAAAGCCCAAGTATCACAGTTAGCAGCTCCGGCACTGCCAGCTCGCCAACGCTTCCCAGCGCTTTAACAATGCCGGCTCTCGCTGAAGCGATAGTCTCTTCTGAGAGTAGAGCTTCGTCTTGAGACCTTGTGGATCGATCCAGAGCAGTGTAGATGTCCTCGATCATTTCCACGCCAGTAGCGGTTGCAAAGAGAATCCCAAAGAAGTGCTCCAAGTGTACGTCGTCACCCGTCTGACAAGATAGAACAGTGAAAAATTGGTCCAACGTGTATTGCAGCGAAATCCATCCGCCACTATCCACCTTTGTTCTGAAATATCTCTGATTTCCCTCATGTCCTTCCAAAGCCGCCCCGAGCACGCCGAACCATTGCGAAAGAGACTGAAGGAATGACTTCACCATGGCAGGAGGGTTGGCTGGTGCAGAGTAACTGTCAACGAGCGAGCGAAGTAGGCGAAGCAACGCTTGGAAGCCACCCGCTCGTCGAAAACCACTGTGCGCTCCGTGGATATCGCCATCATCTTTGAGGAAGTGGCGCAATTGCTGCAGACAGGTTGCCTGATCAAGACTGTTTTGCAGAGCACTGTAGGAGCTGTAATCGAGGGCGTCAAGGCTCTTGACAAGCTGTGCAATGTCTTTGTCTTCCGGACGGAGAATGTCTGCGGTCGACACGGCCCGCGAACGAGTGTGAGTGTTAACGGTGAGGCCCATGTCTTTGTCCTACTCGGGCCCACCTCTTATCTGGCCTTAGCACCGTAGACGGGGTTTCCTGCGACGGCATAGGGAGAAATAAAAGCGTGACAAAGTGGTTGAGTCAAGGGGAGTCTGGAAATCTGGTCAGAGACCGATCCAGCACGGGTCAGGACATCGAACGGTCAGCATCGAGTAGGGCCCCGTGCTCAGACGGCGGGGGAGGACTGGGGGTCGTTCACGGGTGGCAGAAACGGAGGAGACGTGGAAGAGGGACCGGTGACGGTTTATGACTGCAATGTCATGTAGTAGATTCGGTACGGAGGTTAATGGTCACTCTTGTAAAGCTATAGGAGCATTCCACCGCAAACGAAAGTGGGCTTTGTGAAAATGGAAAGCTGCGGGTGACGTTGGAGTTCGCATTTTGTCGGAACCGCTAGATCTTTGTGGCCCCCGAACATCACCTCAGCCACGAACAATAGAGTAACACCAACATCTCCAATACCAAACACTCCTCCAAACAAGATGGCATGTTCGCTACGACTGCTCAGGTTAATATTTCACAGGGATTTATGGAGTAGGGATGGCGACTTCCAATATGTTGACATACATTGAACCCGTCGATACTGGGACATGCTGGACATGTCACCACGGGCGCAGCTTGATTACCTGCCCAGCAATCCGGCTTCAGTCTCCCCACTGCGCTCGGCTCCCACTTGGAAGCAAACTGCTTAGTCTAGCCGGAAGTTACAAGGTTGAGGCTCATGCCGCCTCCGATGACTGCGGGTCGCCCACTTTCTTTGGGTGTGGCTGTCCCGGAGAAGCAGTCAATTCGGAGGGGTTGGCTTCAAGTATCAGACTAGGAACCTGCAAGATCTTGGGCTAGAACAACAATATTATTCTCATTGACGAAGCATGGGGGCAACGCAGCGCAGGGTTCACTTCAGGCCGTGCCCTTCCCTTCCTTTCTTCACCGGTTCATTCAACCGCTTGACAACCTCTCAGCCGTTCAAACGCTCCAGCCACTCGTTGGTACCTTGCAAACTTCAAGCGCTTCTCCTCTCCCAGCTCCTTCAACAAACCCTCTGCGATATTAGCCTATGACACAAACGATAGATCTGCATATGTGCATTTATCCCCCACAAGTGAGGACTGTTTCGTCCTAGCGAGATGGCTATGGAGCACTGAAGTGACGCGCTCGATCTCATCCACATAGCGGGTGATGGCACTTGGAATCTTTTCGTGATGAAAGCGTGCGAACCAGGTGGCTTGGCCGAAATACGGTCCTTGCCCTACGCGAAGACTAGTTAGCTGTGATTCACTAGACGACAGGAAAGGTATGGAGAAGAGTCTTGAGAGTTGAGGATGAAGAATGGAGCCGCTGAGGACGCATACCTGAAACCTGAAACATCAACCATTGCTGCAAAAGATACTTCTCAGGAGCAGTCTTGTAAGACAGCTTTCCCTCCTTGTCCTACTCCTCGATCAAATACAAGATAATCGCACCAGACTCCCACAACGCGATGCCAATATTTCGGATCCACGATTGCTGGCACACGGCCATTGACATTGATCTTCGTAAAGGCCTCCGATTTGGCATCGGGGGATTCGAGTGCACACCAGTCATAAGGAATATCGAGTTCCTCGAGGATGCGTACTTTGTACGAGTTCGGTGGCCCCCGGTGGCCCCCAGTGGCCGTAGACCGTCAGAGGTCTCAGTGTATTGGTAGTCATGTCGGTAAATGAAGATCTAGAACCCTTGAGCTCTTTGAGGGCGCTCGAGAAAACCTCACCACAGATTGTCAATGTCCGCGGGTAGCAGAACTTCTGCAATAGTTGAATGGTGCGAATGAGCTCGTCCATCATCCAGGATTTGGGGGATCATCCGTCGTTTTTATAGCTCGATGCTAGGTGAGCTTTGCACGAAGGGACTTGAAGTCTCGGAGATTGTCCTAACACCTTGGATCGTAACTTCTGCTGCATGCTCCTTTGGTCGTGCTGGGGATCCCGCAGCGAGTTATTAGTCATAATGTGTCGACCTGAATTCGCCCGAGAGGTGACGAGGTCGGTGAACACAACCCGCGTATAGTTCAGTTTAGCAACCTTGGAGAAGGATCAGGGGTATAACCCAAAGAGGAATGGTCCGGGGGTGACCGGCTTATCCTTTCTGGCGTCAAGCCATCGATAATGCCAACATTCCGAGGACACAAACTTGTGAAAGAAAGCAAGGGGCGGTACATCAGTACTGATTTCGTCCGAGCGGAGGAGGATAGGCTCTGGCACAAACCCTCCAGATTTCTCTTCACGCGTATGATTTGGACCTTCTTCATCCACACGAAATTGTCCACCTCGACATAACCTTTCTGGATCAGGGTGTTCCATTGGGCGACAATGACGGAGAGGACCGACTACCTGTTCGTGCATTTTACACCTTCTCCGGGAGATCGAGTTTCGCAAGAACTTCAATTTGTCGCGTGCAAGGCCCGTATCACCAGGAAGGTCCTTCGGAAAACGACGACAGCAGGCGAAGAAACAGGAAGACGATTCATGCAGGAGTCGAACTTCGGCGCCACATCGTAGCTTATTTCCCCTGCTTGTCGGATTCTGCGGCAACTTTAACCCATTCCACTGCCAGATGATCACGGTGACGCCAATTGTGAATCAAGCAGTCTCATTCGTGCGGTTCCGTCTCAATCAATGTTGGTCAACAACCATATGGCACATTCGAGAACGTCAACCTTGGACATTGTCCAATTCTCGGCACCAGCAGCTCGATCGGCAAGATGGCGGCAAAATAGATCTGGGGCCTTTTTGTTGCAGATGTCGGAACATTCTGGTCTGCTGTGGCAGCATATTTGCCGTCAAATGAGACGCCTCGGCTGGCCAAAGAGTGCACATGAACTCGAACGAGTCGCTCTAGAGTTCAAAGCAAAAATACTAGGAAGGATCAGAAAGACGCTGCGGGATTGGCCGCTGAATTCTCGGCCTAGCATGACTCTGATCTATCAGGTCAAAGCGTTGCTTCGTGAAGCCACAATGAGCGGAGATACACACAGCGTCAGTATCCACGCGAAAGTTCTGTTCTGGCTTGCCGAGAAACTGCCCATCAGAGAGTGCTGGGGCGATGAAGATGTGCTAAGCGTAGCTCTGGAAGGGGACAGCCCTCTCAGCTTTGTTCCAACTGCGACGATCGATTCTCAATTATCTCAACTGGATGCCTCAGATAGTCGCCACCACCTGGGATTCTGGGGAATCGGTGTTTCCCACCCATCGCGAGGCGCATATCTTCCTCCCTGAAAGCGTGCCCAGTCCTCAGCCTCGAGAGGCGTTCAGTCACATCCGCCGAGTCCTGAACATCGGCAAGATTTTGGTGACCCCTGGCCGGGGACGAGCACCTCAGATGCGCACAGTTGATCTTCCACTGGGTTATTACCAAGTCTGAATATCATATAAGGAGTTTGCTGGATTTGTATTTCGTGACATCAGCATGCTAATAGTGTTGCGGTTCCAATCTCAATCTTCAGCAGCCAACCGACTTTGGCGTAATAATATTGTCGTTCTTGTGGTGATAATTGGGTCTGATAGACCTCAATAAGAAGCCGCGTATATAAGAAGCCACAAGTGTAGGTCCAAAGCACTTTCGTTGATCTCTTCACCCACTCGCGTACCTCTTCGTCCGGAATAACCTTTGATTCGTCCAGAAGTGATTGCATCAGAAAGTCCCATCCCAGGGGAGGCAAAATCGCTCAAAAATCCCCATCGTCACCAGAGAACCTTGTTTATGCGAACAAACTGATTCTCTGTCTTTCAGAAGGAGAGCCACGGCAACGAGGAATGGACCCAAGACCAATAATCCGTAGAGAACATTTAAGAAGCGTATTAGGAGTCTTGGCTGTGGTCTCGGTTCGAGACCGTCGTGTTGGTTTTGAGCAACTTGGTGCTATTAATATATTAACAATGAGCTTTTAGTCTTTAGAGAAGTAAAAGGTAGTTAAACTACCTAGGGGGTTTCTTCTGTGTTCGAATTGGACAAGAGAGGTTGCTTTTCTGCGACATTCAGAAAGTCGTACGATGTAGTGAAATTATTGCTGTGTTGGGATACTTCTTGAGAAGCTGCTTCTTGGAATGGGTTCATGGCGAAAAGGGAGAAACGATGCGTGAATAATAAATACTCAAGCTGGTGTACGAGGTATGTAGGATCAGAGTGATAGATGAGTGACTGATGAGGTTGAAAGGAGGCGCAGAAGAGATTCGTAGTTGATGACACTCTCGTGTCTCCCGCCGAGGAGTGGTATTGCACCAATGTGCACCTCGTAGACCAGAAGGCACGGAGACAAAGCCTGATGTTGAGAGACATCGCCGTGTAGAAATCGTACCCACTGATGTACCACTGATGTGTTAGGCCAAGTATGGGTGGAGAATTGGTGAGGCGCCAGAGGGCAAAGAGCAGACGCAGCCAATCTGGACTGGGGGATAAGTACAAGCGGATACAGGCTTAACTGGGGGGCCGCAACCGGCGAAAATGCCTTGGCAGCTGGTGGCAGCACTTTGAGCTTGGTGGTCCTCCCTGCTGCTCCCCGGCAACAAGCCTGAGCAACCTGAGTCTAGCCGGAAGCCGCGCAGCTTGCAGCCTGGCTTAGGCGTTAGTGCGGCAAGCAGTCATGTGTCCACTTGTGGCTGTGGCATCACCGACTGAGGACTGCGTCCTGTATCTTCTTATCCCATCTGCTCTTGGTTCTTTAAAGATACCATCCTCCCCATCCCATCCACCCATCACTTTCGACTCCTTCACTTTCTCCATCTCCCGTGCAGCTTGATTCATCCGGGCTCGCACTTTTGTTGTCCCTTTTCTCTTTGATATCCCTTGTCCCCCCATCGCTGTCGCTCCGGTCTCCATCATGAAGGGTTACGCAATCTTATCGCTCCTCCCACTGTTGGCGGCAGGCTCGCCAATCCTCGTCGACACCATCCATAACGATGCTGCTCCTGTCATCTCCTCTTCTAATGCAAAGGAGATTCCTGACTCGTACATGGTCATCTTCAAAAAGCACGTTAGCGAGCGGGATGCTACCGCCCATCACTCTTGGGTCCAAGAGGCCCATGTGTCACACGAGTCTCGCAAGCTCGAGCTCCGGAAGCGCAGCCAAGTTCCCATGTCAGACGAGACCGTCTTTGAGGGATTGAGACACACATACAACATTCCTGGCGGCTTTTTGGGCTATGCTGGTCATTTCGATGAAGGCGTCATCGAGTTGGTCCGAAGGCACCCGGATGTAAGTTCCTTCCCAGTGTTTCAACTCTTTGGTCTTTCAGATAAGCCATCATCAACCCTGCGGCGTCGATACAACGACTGTCCGGTGCTCTGATCATCATCATCATCAAAAGGCTTATACACAGTATTTCCTCAACTTCGCTGTCATGTCCTGTTCCCGAAGCTCACGTGCCCGATTGCTTAGGTCGAATATATCGAACGTGACTCCGAGGTCCGAACCATGAACCACACTCCCTCACTTGAAAAGAACGCTCCTTGGGGCCTCGCTCGTATCTCCCACCGTGAAGCCTTGGGCTTTGGGAATTTTAACAAATACCTCTACTCCGCGGATGGTGGTGAGGGTGTTGACGCCTACGTCATTGACACTGGCACCAACATCGAGCACGTCGACTTCGAGGGCCGCGCCAGCTGGGGCAAGACAATCCCAATTGGTGATGAAGATGTGGATGGTAACGGACATGGTACACACTGCTCTGGCACAATCGCAGGCAAGAAATTCGGTGTCGCAAAGAAAGCCAACATCTACGCCGTCAAGGTCCTCAAGTCCAACGGCTCCGGCACCATGTCAGATGTTGTCAAAGGCGTCGAGTGGGCCGCAAACTCTCATGCCGAAGCTGTGAGCGCCGCGAAGAAGGGAAAGAAGAAGGGATTCAAGGGCAGCGTTGCCAACATGAGTTTGGGTGGTGGCAAGTCCAGAGTCCTGGATCTTGCCGTCAACGCAGCCGTGGATGCCGGTCTTCACTTTGCCGTCGCTGCCGGAAACGACAACGCCGACTCTTGCAACTACTCCCCCGCTGCTGCTGAGAAGGCCATCACTGTCGGTGCCTCTACCTTGGCCGATGAACGTGCTTACTTCTCCAACTACGGCACCTGCAACGATATCTTTGCTCCTGGTCTCAACATTCTCTCCACCTGGATTGGCAGCAAGTACGCCACCAACATCATCTCTGGTACCTCGATGGCCTCCCCTCACATCTGCGGTCTTCTCGCCTACTTCCTGTCTCTTCAACCACCCAGTGATTCCGCCTATGCCGTGGCAGAAATCACCCCGAAGCAGATGAAGGCGAACATGATCTCCATCGCTACTGAGGGCGCCCTTTCCAATGTCCCAGCTGACACGGCCAATATCCTCGCCTGGAATGGTGGTGGCAAGTCCAACTACTCGGAAATCATCGGTGATGGTGGCTACTCCTTCAGCCAGTTCAATGCTGAGTCTTATCTCTCCGAGAAGGCGTCCGAGCTCAAGGCCGAGCTGAAACAAATCGCCACCGAACTCGAGGCTCTGATCGAGAAATCTTAAGAGGCTGCATGATCTGGTCGAATTCTACAATCCTGCAATTCAGCCATTCGTTGAATCAAACAGGCATATCGTACACGCATATGGGATCGGGTCGGGTTCAGGCGGTTTCATCCTAGATTTGGTCGGACTGGTAACCATGGCTCCCCGCTGTTCTCGAGGGATGCTGAGCTCATGTACTTGAGATATATCGGTATTGCGGACATACAATCGTATCGCTTTTCAATTCACCATATGTTCCCTCGGATGGGTTGTTCTTTGGGCAATTGATACGCCCGCCGTGCAGAATATCCACGTGTTTGGTCATTGCTCATCCTGTACGAAAGCTCTTTTTCCAGCGCGTAAATGCCTATTGTGTACTACCCCTGCCTGCCCGACCCAACAAAGGCGCCGTCTCTTCATGGGCATCCGGTTTTCTCTGCGTTTTCCTCCTTTCTGTTCGCGTTTTCCCCTGACTTCCATTAACCTCTCCATCAATGACAACCTCTTCTTCCTCCACTTCCGCTTGTGGCAGAACCTTGAACTCTCCGTGCATGACTCGACTCACCACCCACGACCCGGTCTCGGCAGCGGCCTTGAAGAACTCCTGATTCTCTTCGAACGTCCTGTTCCCAGACTCTGGGCAATACAAATACGTCCACAATCCGGCAAAAGCATTGGTGGCGGCAAACACCAGGAACAGGTAGTATTCGAGACCCTCAAAGCCAATGGGCGTCAGAAAGGTGACGGCGAAGTTGGCCAGGCCCCAGACGATGACGCTGACGGCGGCGCCCTGCGCGCGAGCCGTCGAAGGATAGATCTCTGTGGGGGTGAGCCAGCGGGGAGCCAGCCAGCTGATGCCAAAGACCGCGGTCGCGAGATACAACGCGGCGACGCCTGGAACTCCGGCCGCCAGCAGAGGGATTGACAGTCTTGCGTGGTTGTACGCCAGGCCGCCCAGGAGCGTGAGCAGGGCAAAGGAGACGGCGAGCCAGAACGACCCGACGACCATCAGCTTGCGTCGTCCAACGCGGTCAATCAGCACCCAGGCCACCGTCATCATGGCAAAATAGAAAACATAGTTCCCTAGGGTGATGAACTCGGCGCTGTTGATATCGAATCCCAGCAGCTCAAATATCTGCGCCCCGAACACCGACACCGCGCCGTACCCAGTCAACGCCTGGTTGACTTGGCCCATGACCGTCACGACGGTCGGATGAAACTGCGAACCGCCCGGCCAAAGCATGTTCGAGTACGAGATCCAACCTTTCGCCTGTTCCTTTTTATGCGCCTCGGTCAGCTCCTTGATGCGGTCCTCGACCTGGTCTTTGCCGAATACCCGGGCTATGCTTCGCTTTGCCCGGTCGTTGTCGCCATGCAACACGCACCACCTGGGCGTCTCCGGCAAGAGATTGGCCACTGCGAAGAGCAGGACCGGATAGATCTGCATGACGATAACAGGCACTCGCCACGCCCACTAGTTCCATTTGCCCAGTGAATGCGTGACCCCAACGTTGAGGATATACGCCATGTTCAGCCCAAATATGTTGGCTTGGAATTCCTGGGCCAAGGCCGTGCCGCGGGCATCGTCTTCCTGGAGCTCGGAGCTATACACGGGCACGACTGGATCCCTCCTATGTAACAGGCCCCCAGTCAAAAGATGTGGACGTGAAATAACTTCGAGAACGCAAACCTACCGACTCCGAGGCCCATGACAACCCTACCCCCTATCATCGTTACAAGGGCTCCCTTCTGACCCATCTGTCCCATGCCCGCGCCGAACATTAGCAGATTTCCCAGGCTGGCTGTCGCCAAGCACACGAAGATGCCCGACTTGCGACCTTTGCCGTCTGCAAAGCGGGATGCTAGCACCGCTCCCAATGCACAACCCAGGTAGTAGACCGAGACAACCAGTCCGACCAAAGCCGAATTTCCGGCAATGCCCATGGTGTAGAGGTAGTCGTAATTTGTGTTGATGAGGGACATCATGCCTAGGAGTGAGATCAGTTAGCTTTTGTGTTGTTCCAGAAACATCTGCACAGCCAAAAAAAAGGAGAGAGAGGGAGATATCTGGCAAATCAAGGAAGCAAGTCATTTCGGCGCGCGACACGACGACAACCGCTTCAAATAGTGATCCACTACAACGGGAATGAGAGAGTCCACTGAACAGCACGAACTCGTAGATGAAAGCGATTGAAGAGAATTCTTCCGCTGCTTCCTCTTACCTTGACCGTAGCCATACAAAGCAATGGCCGTGGAACTGACCATGACCACCTGGGTCTGCTTGTCCACGACCTTTCTCAGACTGAACTCTCCCATCTTGTTGCACCCAGCCGATTGAGGAGGGGGGGGGGGAACAGAGAGAGGATTGTGTAGAGTCTCGCGACGACTCGACCGCCTATGCGGGCCCTAACGAAGAGAGGGAAGCAGAGAAGAAGGATGAGGCGCTCCGTCCGTCTATGTTTTTTCTTTTTCAAAAGTATATATATAAAAAAGATAATTAAAAAGTCACACCCGAGGCATCATTGAAAGCGACAACCAACTCAGCAACCCAGGATGAGAACTGTGTGGGCTACGGAGAAGGTTCTCATCAGCATGGTACCTGTGAATTGACCGGCTGGCTCCCTGGCTGGCAGGGCTCCCAACTCCTAGTCAGTCCGATCTTGTTTCCACAATTGGGTAGGTAGATAGATATGTAGCGGTATCAAAAAGTGGGAGAGTTGCGAACATAGTGATCATCGGTATAGGTGGGATGTTAAAAGCAAAGAATGATGACGTCTATCCGCCTGCAGCAGCTTCACGCTCGGTGCCGCTCCATTCAATAAGTGAGTTCGAGGCGGGGCTGGTGTGGGCTTCGCATCGGCTAATCTTGCATGGCCCACTAGGCTGCGAGAAAGAGTTTACCGACGGCATGTGACAGGGTACCTAGACGGAGCGACGATGGGTAGAGATGCCTAAAATATAGGATCAAACAGCGAGAAATGATCGAAAATCTTTGTTTGTAGCCTCGTACCCTAGGATTCAAGCTATGGCGTGCAAATTTCATAAACTCATAGATCGTCTTCCGCGCTTCCTTTGCCGTAGCTGATCCATCGTCCCCTCCAGCTTGTATGGCGGTTTGGGTTCCAGTCCATCATAGCGTCCAGCTGGCATGGGACCTTGTTTGCCAAATCCTTCGCTCTCATCCAGGATGTCAACATGCCTGACGACATCGCCGTCAATCTCGTTTCGAAAGACGAAATCGGGACCTGGCTCTCTCCACCCATATTTCACCCTCAGCTCCGCCAACTCCTCGGCGATTTCCTGGCCGGTCAGCAGACAGCCCCTGTCGCCGAGTTTCTCGACAATAGGCCGTAGCAGTTGGGCGGTGCTCAAGAAACTGTCATCCCGAATAATGGCTGAGTTGGCCCAGGCTATGACACAGATCAACGCCACCAGTTGGAAGAATGGTATTAGTCCCAAGATTGAAGCGGACCAGCGCCATTCCACACGCACAACTTGCGCTGGAACAGCATACCAGCCTGGCACGTTGCGTCTTGGTCCGTTGTAGTCAATCGCTGCCACAGCTTCAATGCTGAATTCCATAATTCGCTGAGATATCATACCCGCATCTGCGGGGCTGTTGGGGCTCCACCAGGTTTCCGTGTTGTATCGGACATACTGATACATGTCACCTGGCGTATAGTTGAAACCCGACCATCCGATGGCACCTGCAATGATCCTCGCTTGCAGCTCGGGCATCTCGAATGACTCCGCCGGTTCTCCATAGTCAAGATATTCTTCAACTCCTCGCACTTCTGAAATTTTACTTTGGCACTTGAAGAACGCTGATTTAGGGATTGTCTTGCCGTTTGCACTTTGCAGCGCAAACACCTCCGTGCAGCGTGGCCCACAGGTAGAGTTGAGTACACCGATATACGTCATTGCTCCCGGTCCAACATGGACAACATCGAGGGTAGTGTGCTCTCCAGTTCCGTCAAGGTAGGTAACGAACGTACTGGTTCCGTTGCCGCCTTCAACAACTTTGAATTCTTTGCAGGTGGCCGTTGCACTGATATTGCGGTGAGAAACCAGGGTGAGTTGGGGGTTTTGGATATTCTGGTCTTGAAACACATATGTCATGACGTCCCATTGTTGGTCGGCGTAGATAGTAGGCGTGCCAGGTGTTCCGTAGCTCGGAACTTTCCCTTGGCCAAGGGGACTACCCTCAACGAAGAGATAGTCCTGGCCTTGAATGCCGAAGTAGTTTGCAGAGCCCAATTGCGCATCAAAAGACGGATTTTCTGCTCCCCAGACGTCCCGGATAACGGTCAAATCGGCAATGCTCATCGTCCCAAATCGACGTTCGGGAATATTGGAGGTGTTGAGGTTGTACGTCAATCCCAGCAAGGCCACAAGAATCTGCAGGAGGACGTTGACTCCGAGCCACAAAGCACAAAGCCACTGTGTCGTGTTCAGCCAGAACCACACTCTTCCCGGAGTCCTTGCTGCCCAAAACAACCGTGCGACCTTCCGCAAACTGTCGCAACGCATCAACAAATCGAACTCATGCAGAGAGCGGTACCTCGAAGCCAGCATTCTCCACCGCATCATCGTTGCATATTCTCGCAATGAGCTTGTTAGATTGTTCCCGAGAAAGAGAGAAAGAAGCACGATGAGGGCGTTGAAGGCTTTGACTTGTGTTACTGTCATCCACAAGAGGTTTCCGAAGGCTCCGAGGCATGCAGCCAACAGGCCACAGAGCAAAGAGGTGATGAACCATTGCCAGATACCTACAGTGAACAGTCGACGACGTTGACGATTAGGTTTGAACTCTCGAATTGTCCGTGAAATCAACCCAAACCCTTCTGTCGAGACAGAATGCCTCCATGGCTGCCGTAATCGAGGAGGTCCGAACTTGGGGTTGGATCGACTGCTACTGGGCGAAGGCAGGGTGTTGCTGAAGTTCAAGGACTCCGGCAGCGATTCTGAGATTGGCTGAAGAGGTGGTTTCTCCATCGGAGGAGTGTAGAAGGCATTATCTGAATGGCTTCTTGGAACGATTGTAGGAAGTTCGATTGCAGGAACAGAGAACGGCGTCGTGACCTTGGGTCGCGCATGTCTTCTGGCTCGAGCGGCGTAAGTGTGGGTGGCATGAGCGCGAGGAACGAGTTATTAGAGTTTTCCTTCTCGCAGAGTGACAGAGGGGCGTGGCTCTTGTCGTTGAATACTGGCCAGTCAGTGGTACAATGTACGCATGTACCAAGACATAATGGGTGTGGAAGGCCCATTAGGGGCCGAGACTCGCACCGCAGGAGAGACCAGCTGAGAACAAGAGCCTGACTGGGGAGCGCAATAGCGGCTACAGTTCCTCGTTCAGGCAAGCCGGGGCCCCTTTCACTGAGTCGAATTAGGCCTTGCTAGCCTTCGTGTCTCGCATCTCGTCTCTCGCCTGTTGAACCGAAGTGGCGAGGGTAGTTGTCCCTCCTTTCCCTAAAAAGCCCAGGTATCTTCACATGGTCTCAGACCTTTTTCTTTCATTGTTTGAGGCTCGAAGTGTGTGAGGAAGGACACGGGTTACACGACCTATGAATAACTCTGGCGAAGGCCGTCGACATCTTGGGATGCGTTGTTGAAATTCTTGTGGTTGGGGGCGCCTATACAATCCACGTTTCATGGTGCCGTACCGAGTACTTTGAAAGGGTCGAATTGTGGCATGTGGTTTTTGAGGAAGCAGTGTGTGCTGGGTCAAAAAGGGTAGACGACGGATTCCATTCAGCCTGCGCCTGTGCCTGCGCCGGTCACTTACCGGCTGCGTTGACTAGGGAGGCCAACTGACTAAAGGTAATTAGACCAGTTTCGGCCAAGCACCGTAAGACGCGGGTGAAAGTATCAGATTGGCAATTGCCCTCAACTCATCACCTCACCCTTTATTTTCCTTTGCACCCCTCCACCGAGCAGCTACCTCTTCCCAATCCTAACCCGGGTCCAAGCCATTGCGTTGCAAAGTCGTCCATCTACAATTCCACCATGGCCCAAGCCCTGAATCCCACAAGACCGCGCAAGCGACCCAGGGCGCTACAAGCCTGCCAATTCTGCCGTGCCCGTAAGAATCGGTGCAACGAGGAGATGCCATGTTCCTTTTGTGTCGGTCAGCCATCCAAGACCCTTCATGGTACCATTGGCCGCTGATACCTCTGGAAGCTCACGATGTTGAATGCGTCTATTCCAGAGCAGTGTCGTCCCAAGAGTCAAAGTGGGCCTCCCGCTCTCCCGGATCTGCTGCTTGAATGTGAAGCTTACATGAAGGGTTTTCAGGACAGTAGAGACCTTGGAAAAGAGGATACAGGAGCTAACACTCAAATTGAAGCAAGCCGAAGACGCTTTGTCTCGTTCCAAGCTGGGCAATGATTCACTACAAGCATCGCCGGCGGACGAGCTAGTCCGTGGCCCTGTCCTTTTGCCTGGAGCTTCCCGATCTCAATGCAGTCTCGCCTCCAAACACATCAGGCCCATAACGCCAGCTGTGGTCGGTCTGGCTGGCGACGAATCTAGGAGTCAACTCTTGCAGACCATGACCGCACGGGAGGACTCTTCCACCCCGGATGCAGCAGATCTCAATGTGCATACGCAGGGTTGGGAATACTACGGCCCTTCTTCGCCAATCGCGTTCCTTCGCAAAATCCCCGGGTTGTCAGAGGAACGGTCTGAATACTATGCTGAACAAACATCTAGAACATTTTTTGCTTCTCTTCTCCATAACAGCACATTTCCCCTTACACCTGCTGAAGGAGCTCTTACTCATACCGATTCGGAGACTTTCACTCGGGAACGACTCTACTTTCGAGTGTCCAGAAAGTTCATCGATGCCTACTTTGATAATCTCCATCTCATACAACCTGCCCTCGACCAAGAGAGATTCATGACTCGTTGTGAGGAGTTGTGGTTCGGTCACCAGGTCACCTACCCATCCACATTTATTGCGCTGTACTATAGCGTTCTTTCGCTCGGGGCACTCCTTGCCCATCCGAAATCGGGGAAGTTCCATGGCTTAGAGCATTTTGAATGGAGCCGAATATTATTCAGAGAGGCATGTGAGGCTATGTTGCGCCTTGGACATTATACGAACTTAGACATGGTTCAATGTTACTACATGATGGTAATGTACCAGGGAAAAGTCATGGCGTAGTAACTAACACAGGTTGCAGGCCAAAATCGCCCAGCACGAGCTGAATCCTCACAGTATGCTCGAGCTCCTGCGCCAGGTGCTTCCCAGGCTAACGCAGACAGTCACATACTTGTACACCGGTCAGGCTATCCGAATAGCTCTGAGCATTGGG